CGATGCGTCCGCGTGCCGTGTCTGGGGATCTCGAGCTTTTGTCCGCGATACTTCAGCGGACAAGCTGTCCTCCCGTGCCGTTCCCTGCGTCTTCCTTGGCTTCCCCCCTGACGCACCCGGGTGGCAGTTCTACCACCCCACCTCGCGTCGTGTTCTGTCCTCTCAGGACGTCACGTTTGACGAGTCGGTGTCTTACTACCGTCTCTTTCCCTACCGCACTGCCTCTCTCCCCCCCCCCGCCACTCTTCCTAGCTCCAGGTACTCCTCCGATAGACCCCCTCCCCCCCTCAGGGTCCTGCCCCCTCAGGTGTGTCTCAGGTAGACCCTGCCAAGCCGGTCGAGGTAGCTGTCGACTCAGGTGCTGCTAGGGGTGTTGAGCCTGCGGGTGCGGGGACTGGGGGTGCGGAGCCTGGGGGTGCTGAGTTTGAGCGTGTGGAGTCTGGGGGTGCTGAGCCTGAGCGTGTGGAGCCTAAGGGTGCTGAGCCTGGGGGTACTGCGTCTTGGGGTGCTGAGCCTGCGTGTGCTGAGTCTGGGGGTTCTCCGGGTGTCCCGTTGCGGCGAGAGCCCCTCTCTCCGCAGCGGCTTCGTGAGTGGTACGCTCGGCGCTGTCGCCGTGCTACTGGTGCTGCTGGTCCTGGCGCTGCTGTGCTGCTGGTGCTGGAGCTGCTGGAGGTGCTGCTGGTGCTGGAGCTACTGGAGGTGCTGCTGGTGCTGGAGCTGCTGGAGGTGCTGCTGGTGCTGGAGCTGCTGGAGCCGCTAGTCCTGGAGGTGCTCGTACTGGAGGTACTGGATCTGCTGGGGCTGGTGGTGCTGCAAGCGTTGGCACTGCAGGTACTGGTGCTGCTGGTGCTGGAGCTACTGGAGGTGCTGCTGGTGCTGGAGCTGCTGGAGGTGCTGCTGGTGCTGGAGCTGCTGGAGCCGCTGGTCCTGGAGGTGCTCGTACTGGAGGTACTGGAGCTGCTGGAGCTGGTGGTGTTGCAGGCGGTGGTGCTACAGGTACTGGAGCTGGTGGTGCTGCGGGAGTTGTTACTCGAAACCCTGGAGCTGAGGGTACTGGTGCTGTCTCTGCTGTTTTTGGAGGCACTGCGCGGCCGTGGCCGTACTACGTTCCGCTCCTTCAGCAGGTTCTTGGTCCTACTCCTCCCTTACTGAGTCCACCACCTGTCCAGTCCCAGTCGCAGTTCCAGCCGGCCTCTCCACTGCCTGGTCCTTCTCCTTACTCTGGACCGACTAGAGGTCTTACGGAGCGTCGTGAGCCTGAGTCTCGTCCTGCGTCACCTGAGTCTCGTTTTGAGTCGCCTGTCCGCACTGTTCGCGCTGGTCGTCGTGTTTTGCGTCCGCGTCCTCCTCCTGTCCCTGGCACTCACTCTATGACTCTGCGTCCTTCCACTGCTCCACAGCGTGTCCCTCTGCCCTCTCCTCCTGCGTCCTCTCTTCCTGACGGTCCGGACCCGGCGTCTGACTCCCTTCGTGCTGCTAGTCCTACTGTCACGCGCTTTCTGGCCACTGCTGTCACTGACCCCTTGTTTGCGTCCACTGCTGCGTTTGCTCTCGTTGCTGAGCTTGTTGACTTTGCTGCAGCCTGTCGCCTAGACTACGCCACTAGTCTTATTGCTGAGTCTGCGTCTGCGTCTGTCTGTCCTCCGTCCGTCGGGGGTGAGTGTGCTCTTGGCACGGACGTTCTTGAGGACAGACAGGAGGAGTTTGAGTGCTTTGCCGCTGCTGTACCTCCTCTCGTGTCCATGCTGCTTGCCCCTGAGGGAGACCCGGATGCACCAGACATCCCGACCTCGCGCTCTTACGCAGAGGCGATAGAGGGTCCCTACTCCTCTCAGTGGCAGGCAGCCATGGACGCCGAGATGGCTTCTTGGAAGTCCACAGGCACCTACGTCGACGAGGTTCCCCCGCCTGGGGCGAACATCGTCAGTGGCATGTGGATCTTCAGGGTGAAGCGGCCGCCGGGCTCTCCGCCTGTCTTCAAGGCGCGTTACGTTGCACGTGGCTTCAGTCAGCGACAGGGAGTTGACTTCTTCCATACCTTCTCCCCTACCCCGAAGATGACCACTCTTTGGGTACAGCTGCACGTCGCCGCTCAGCGTGACTACGAGCTCCACTCACTTGAATTCAGCACAGCCTTCCTACAGGGCAGCCTGCACGAGGAGATCTGGCTGCGCCGCCCACCTGGCTTCACTGGGTCGTTTCCTGCTGGTACCCAGTGGAGCCTCCGGCGGCCAGTCTACAGTCTCCGCCAGGCACCCCGTAAGTGGCACGACACACTGAGGACGACTCTTCCTGCTCTTGGTTTTGCTCCTTCCACTGCTGACCCTTCTCTGTTTTTACGCACTGACACCACTCTGCCGCCGTTCTACGTTCTCGTATACGTAGACGACCTCGTCTTTGCTACTGCTGACACTGAGGCACTCGCCCACGTGAAGTCCGAGTTGCAGAAGAGACACACGTGCACAGACCTGGATGAGCTGACAAGCTATCTTGGCTTGCGGATCACCCGGGACAGAGCACAGCGCACCATTACCTTGACTCAGTCACACATGGTGCAGCAGGTCCTTCAGCGCTTCGGCTTCACGTACTCCTCGCCACAGTCCACTCCTCTGCCTACCGGTCACTCGCTCTCAGCTCCACCTTCGGACGAGTCCGTAGAGCCGAGTGTCCCGTATCCAGAGCTTGTGGGCTGCCTCGTGTACCTGATGACTTGCACACGACCTGACCTCGCATACCCTCTCAGCCTTCTGGCTCGCTACGTGGCTCCCGGCAGGCACCGAAAGGTGGACTGGGATGCTGCAAAGAGGGTGTTGCGCTACTTGTGCAGTACATCGGGCATGGGGCTCGTGCTTGGAGGACGGGCTCGAGTTGTCCTCACTGGTCACGCTGTCGCCTCTTGGGTTGACGACTTGGCTATGCAGCGGTCGTCACAGGGTTACACCTTCAGTCTTGGCTCCGGTTCTGTCTCTTGGCGGTCTACCCGCTCTTCTTCTGTTCTCAGCTCCAGTTGTGAGGCTGAGATCTACGCTGGGGCCATGGCTGCACAGGAGCTACGCTGGCTCACCTACCTGCTGACCGACTTGGGAGAGGCGCCTCGTTCTTCCCCAATTCTGTACGCCGACAACAAGGCCATGCTTGCCTTGTGTCAGGAGCACAGACTGGAGCACAGAACGAAGCACATTGCTCTGCGCTACTTCCTTGCTCGAGAGTTGCAGCAGCGTGGCCAGCTTCGTCTTGCTTACGTGGCCTCTCAGGCCAACACTGCTGATGTTTTCACCAAGGCCCTTCAGCCTTGTGATCATCAGCGTTTCTGTACTGTGTTAGGTCTTGTACCTACTGTGCCTCACTTGCTTACTTCTTGACTCTGCTTGTACTGTACTCTTTATACATATACCTGCATGCTTACACTTGCTAGGTTGTGTTCACTGTATTGTTTGCTCTCCTTTATATAACTCTGCATGTGAACTGGCCTTGTGGCCATTTGCTTGTGCTCAGACTGCGTGGTGACTTTGTGATCCACCCTGAGCGTGCTTTGCCTTTCTTGACTGGTCTTGTGACCTCTTGTTCTCCCCCACTTTGCCTATGGGGGTGTGTCAAACTTATATGCTATAGTCTGTTTAGGCTGTAGTGGGGTAGTTCTTATTGGGTTCAACACTTCTAGGTTTGCTACTTGTACCCACCTACTTTCTAGTTCAGTCATTCATTCGTTCCATATTCTAACAGCGCCGTCGAGCACTCGCGCTGTCGCGCACTCGCGCTGTCGCGCACTCGCGCTGTCGCGCACTCGCGCTGTCGCGCACTCGCGCTGTCGCGCACTCGCGCTGCCGCGCACTCGCGCTGACGCGCACTCGCGCTGTCGCGCACTCGCGCTGTCGCGCACTTGCGCTGTCGCAGACTCGCGCACTTGTGCTGTCTCGCACTCGCGCTGTCGCGCACTCGCGTTGGGGCGCACTAGCACTGGCGCGCACTCGCGCTATCGCGCACTCGTGCATTCGCGCTGTGCTTAGAATGCGCATGAATCTCTATAGGCGTAGGGAAAAGGATTGAAAAGCCTGAAAGTTATTGCATATTTAGATGGCTCATGATCAAATCCACGTATCGATTGAGATGGTGGGAAAACTTTGCAAATCACTTGTAGTCCCATTCCCCTTCCCCCCCAACACGCCTCCAGAGCTGTTTTGAGGCTCATGTAACAGTTTTAAAAAGGTTAATAACGATTCAGGGCGGTAACGATACTGCACTGCTTTATGGACATCGCCGAGCAGCGGAATATCTGCTAGCGCCAGCCATAAATTAGGTCAACCACCCGCCTCATCCATTCTTCATCGCCTTGGCGGCGCGGTGAGTTGGTCGTTTTTCCCATTCCTTACCAAGTCGCTCGTTACTCAGTGTCCTTTATTTTTTTTCTACCCTCTTCCTCGCCATGGCAGCTGCCGTCCCCTGACTCCTAACTGAAATTTCCGTCTAGAAAACGTCGAAATAGGTATGTTTACTCGTTACCTGCCTTTCTGCTCAATCCCTTCCAGGGCGGTGATCGCGGAGCTTCCAGGAAACAGCCATGGGACAGCGTGAACCCTAGCTCGCGTAGAACGGACTTTCCTTCGTTCCCTTAGGCGCACGCACCCGTCATTTCACGCACGCTACCAGCTACTCTGCGTAACCGTTAATTCCTAACTGACGTCTCCCCTCCTTAAGCGCCGCACCAACCCTTCCCCAAACTTGCATTTCGCAATAACGAGGTCATGGACGACTGTGACTGAATCGGAGGGCAGTGGGCGACGGACGACCTGCTAGTCCGTTACCAGTACGTCTCGGACTTCTTCATAGCTCTCGCTTACTTCTCCATCCCGCTCGAATTAATCTACTTCGTAAAAAAATCCGCCGTCTTCCCGTACCGATGGGTGCTCGTGCAATTCGGCGCGTTTATAGTTCTTTGCGGCACCACGCATCTCATCAACATGTGGACCTTTCGCGAACACACGCGAACCGTCGCCTTCGTGATGACCATCGCGAAAGTTCTCACGGCCGTCGTGTCGTGCGCGACGGCGCTCATGCTGGTGCACATCATTCCGGACCTTCTCTCCGTGAAGACCCGCGAGCTGTTCTTAAAGAATAAAGCCGCCGAGCTGGATCGCGAGATGGGGTTAATCCTCACGCAGGAGGAGACGGGGCGCCACGTGCGCATGCTGACGCACGAGATCCGATCGTCGCTGGACCGGCCGACGATCCTCAACACGACGCTCGTGGAGCTGGGGCGCACGCTGCAGCTCGACGAATGCGCGCTCTGGATGCCCGCCAACCTCGCTGGTGAGCGCAAGGGGAAGTGGGGGTGGGAGTGGTAGGTGGGGTGGGAGTTGGTGTTAGGTGAGCGGGGCGGTGAGTGCGTGTGCAGACCCGGGTGTGCAAAGAGGTTGCTCTGCTCTCAAAGCTGGGGCGCGCGCCGCAGCTCGACGAATGCGCGCTCTGGATGCCCGCCAACCTCGCGGGTGAGTTAATGCGGTGATGGAGGTGGGAGTGTTAGGTGCGGTGGCAGTTGGTTGGGTGAGCCAGGGGGGGGTGAGTGCGTGTGCAGACCAAGATGTGCTAGGAGGTGCCCTGCTCGCTTGTGGCGCTGGGGCGCATGAGGTTTGAGGCGCTTCATTCATACATTCTTACAGCATCGTCACCATCTATCGCTGCTTTCACCATCCCACGGTTATTCTCACTATCCCTTCCCCCACTCCCCTATCCTCTCCCATCATCTTCTCCCCCCTCTCCTCCCACCATCTCTCTTCTCCCTCCTCCCACCATTTCCCCCCCCTCCCCACTCCATATTCCCCTTCCTCTTCTTACCATCATCTCCCTCCATCCCTCACTCACCCCCCTCCCCAGGCGACGAGGGCGACGACGGCGGAGGGTCCCCATCGGACCTGCAGCTCATTCATACGCTGCACCAGCCCAAGCCCCCTCCAGTCACCGTCACACTCGCACACCCCACAGTGAAGCAGGTCTTCAGCACCAGCCGCGCCGTCGTCATCTCGCCCAACTCGCCTGTCACCGCCATCCCGGGCGGCGGCGGGCGGGCGGGCGGCAACCGCTACGTGGCGGGCGACGTGGTCGCGGTGCGCATCCCGCTGCTGCACGCCAACACGTTTACGGGCGGCGGGGCGGGCGGCGCGGGCGGCAACGACTGGCAGGACTCGCGGGAGAGGAGCTACGCTCTCCTCGTCCTCATGCTCCCAGCCGACAGCGCACGGCGCTGGCACGTGCACGAGCTAGAAATGGTAGAAGTGGTAGCGGATCAAGTGGCGGTCGCACTCTCACACGCGGCGATCCTAGAAGAATCCATGCACGCAAGAGATCTTCTCATGGAGCAGAACGTGGCTCTGGACCACGCGCGGGCTCAAGCCGAGAAAGCCATCCGCGCGCGAAACGATTTCTTAGCCGTTATGAACCACGAGATGCGCACACCCATGCACGCCATCATCGCTCTCTCCACGCTTCTCCAGGAGACGGAGCTGACTCCGGAGCAGCGCAGCATGGTTGACACGGTGCTGAAATCGAGTAATCTCCTCGCCACACTCATTCACGACGTGTTAGATCTCTCCCACCTGGAAGACGGTAGCATGCTGCTTGATGTCCGCACCTTCAACCTCCACGGCACCTTCCAGGAGGTTGCGTCGCTGGTGAAGCCGGTCGCGTCGGTGAAGAAGCTCGGCGTGACGCTCAGGTTGCAGTCGGATGTGCCTGAGTTTGCGGCCGGGGATGAGAGGAGGCTGCTGCAGACGGCGCTGAATGTGGTGGGGAACGCGGTGAAGTTCACGCGGGATGGCAGCATCACCATTACTGTGTGCCTGGAGCGGCCTGAGTTTCAGCGCGACAAGAACTTTCCCAAGTTTGTGCCGCTGGTGGCGCTGGGGGACAAGCACTACTATATCCGCGTGCAGGTAAGCGGTTGGGTGGGGCTTTTGCTCCTGCTGGTGACGCAGTGCCTAGTTTGAGGCTATGCCTAGTGATCACTTGCTGTGGTGGTGGCGCTGGGGGACAAGCACCACTATATCCGCGTGCAGGTGAGTGGCACCGGGTGGGGCTATTGCTCTTGCTGGTCCTTCCAGTGCCGCTGCTTGCTGCTGTGCTCGCGCTGGGGGACAAGCACTACTATATCCGCGTGCAGGTGAGCGGTGGGGCTTCTGGGTGACAAGTGTGTGTCGACTCTATAGTCACCTCGGCGGTGGCGCTGGGGGACAAGCACTACTATATCCGCGTGCAGGTGAGTGGTTAGTCTGTTGCTGCTTCTGCTGCTGCTTCTAGTGCTCAGCTCGTTCTGCTGCCTGACGACGCCTCCTCCTGTTGGCTGACTGATGAGCGGCCTGGATGAGTGTTTTTCCCCGCACTATTCTCCCCCCTCTAACTCACCACGCCCCTCCCCCCCCCCCCGCCTTCTATCCGCAAGTGAAGGACACGGGAGTGAGGCTGAGGCAGGAGGACCAGAGGAAGCTAGTTCGCTCACTTGTGGGTTACATGAATCCTTGTTTTTCACCCTACCCCTCCTCCCCTCGCATCTCCTCTCCTCTCATCGCCGAGAGCAGGTGAAGGACACGGGAGTGGGGTTGAGGCAGGAGGATCAGAGGAAGCTGTGATTGCTCACGTGTGTGGGAACTGGGATCCTTGTTTCCCTTCCTCTTCGTGACCCCTCTTCCTCGTCCGAGAGCAGGTGAAGGACACGGGAGTGGGGTTGAGGCAGGAGGATCAGAGGAAGCTGTTCAGCAAGTTCGTACAGGCGGACGCCACCACCACGCGCAACTATGGCGGCACTGGTTTGGGACTCGCCATTTGCAAGCGGTGAGGAGGGGGAAGACGTGGTAGAGGTGCCAGGGGGATAGTGGTGGGAAGAAGGGAGATGGGAGGGTAGAGGTGGCAAGGGCAGTGGCAAGTTCGTGCAAGCAGACGCCACCACCACTCGCAATCACGGCGGCATGGGACTGGGCCTTCCCATCTGCAAGCGGTGAGAAGGGGGGTTAGGTGGTAGGGGGGTAGTGGCAGAGGGTAGTGGCAATGCACATTGCAGGCAGACGCCACCACCACTCGCAACTATGGCGGCACCGGACTGGGCCTTGCTATTTGCAAGCGGTGAGTGAGATGTTGGGGAGGTAAGGAGGGAGAGGCTAGTGGCGGGCAGGAGGATCAGAGGAAGCTGTTCAGCAAGATGGTGCAGGCGGACGCCACCACCACGCGCAACGGGCTAGGCCTCGCCATCTGCAAGCGGTGAGGATGGGGGGAGGTGGGGAGGTGAGCACAACTCACATCTGGGTGGAGGTTGAGGTCTGGGCAAGGGCAAAATGCAAAATTCCATCCCATTCCCGCCTCTTACAAGCTGTCCACCTATCTCCCCCACCCTTTTCCCCCAGCTTCGTGAGCATGATGGGGGGCCACATCTGGGTGGAGAGCGAGGGCCCGGGCAAGGGCACGACAGTGACGTTTGTGGTGCGCCTGGGGCTGCCAGAGAAGGCGGACGACCGCAACAAGGCGGGCAACGCGGGGCAGAAGCAGGCTGCTGGCGGTGCTGGTGGGGCCACCAAGGCTGTGGATTTCACTGGGCTCAAAGTGCTCGTGTGCGACGATAACCAGTGAGTGCGGGGGATAATTAGCAGTTTACCGGGGATGATAAGCCGTGAGTACACAGGAGCAGGGAGAGGGTATAGGGCATGACAAGTGGTAGCTTGCACTGGTGCTTCCTCTCTGCTCTATCAGTGTATTCTCTCAAAACACCCTTGTCCTGCCGCCCGCCTACCTGTGCCTGCCTTTACATTGAAGGTGAATATTTTCCCCCATGCTTATCTTCCCTCCCATCCACTCTTCACTTCCCCCCATCTCCTTCCAGTGTGAACCGCATGGTGACCAAGCGCATGGTCACACGGCTGGGCTGTGAGGTCACCGTGGTGGGGTCGGGACGCGAGTGCCTGGCTGCTCTTGCCGGCCCGGGCCATGGCTTTAAGGTGAGCTGGCAGGGGTTAGGGGAGGGTGTGAGCGAGTGATGGGTGCAGCGATTGGTGTGACCTAGGGGCCCAGGGGAGGGTGAGAGCGAGGGGCGCAGAGCGGCTGTGCGGTGCATGCGAGAGGGGCGTTTGAGGCGGGAGGGGAGCCATGCGAGGGCCTCGTTTCTCTTGCTCGGGCAGGCCTGAGCAGGAGATGAGGTTAGGGACGTGTTGCCCAGCTGTGCTGCTCCCTCCAACTCCCTACCCTCTCCTCCGTTCTCCTTCATATCCCCTCTTATCCCTTCCTTGTTAGCTCGTTTCTGTGGTTGTCTATTTGCAAACATCATCCCTTCTCTCCCACACACCCCCACTTCCCCCACAACCCCCACCCACGCCACCTCTCGTCCCACCTACAGTTGCTGCTGCAGGATTTGATGATGCCTGACATGAACAGCTACGAGGTGTGCTTAGGCGGCCCATTCACCCTTGCTCTGGTTCTCTCTTTGCCACGCCCCTCCGTCCTATCCGTCCCCCATTCTCTCTCACACCAACAGGTGCTGCTGCAGGATTTGATGATGCCTGACATGAACAGCTACGAGGTGGCGAAGCGGGTGATGGACCACAAGTGATCGACCGCAAGTGATGGACCACAAGTGATCGACCGCAAATGATCGACCGCAAGTGATCGACATGCACCGTCTAAGCTGTCATCTCTTTGCAAACACCACCCTTTCCCACTCAACCCCCTACCCTTCCCCCCACTCACACCAACAGGTGCTGCTGCAGGATCAGATATGGACGGCTACGAGGTGGCGAAGCGGGTGATGGACCGCATCAAGAACCTCCTTGGCACCATCTCTGTGGTTATCCCTTGGCAAACACCACCCTTTTCCTTTGAACCCCGCCGCTCCCCCCCTTTTCCCCAACCAACAGGTGCTACTCCAGGATCTGATGATGCCAGACATGGATGGTTACGAGGTGGCCAAGCGAGTCATCGACCGCATCAAGAACCCCGACGAGCGGCCGCGCATAGCAGCCCTCACAGCCAACACGGACCAGGCCACCAAGGACCGCTGCCTCAGCATCGGCATGGACGGGGTCATCACCAAGCCCATCTCGCTGGAGAAGATGCGCATTGTCTTCACGGAGCTCATGACCCTTGGCAAGATCGTGTCCGATCCCAAGGCCTAGAACCCTGTGTGCAGGGGTGTGCAATGCGGTTCAGAGGTGTGCCGATGGGGTGGGATATCTGTTCTCCTGAAGAATGCATGGGGGAGATGGCAGAGAAAGGAAACCTGCTTCTCGGCATTGGCACGGAGGGGGTTATCAGAGGCCCATCTCACTGGGGTGGGGGTTGCCAGTTGTCATGGAAAAGCCAACATTTTTTTATGGAAGGGGGATATGTTTCTTCAAATTGGAGGGGGGTTAGTTTGTCAGCATTTAGATTGTTTGGGGGGGATAGCGGTGAAGTGAGCTGTGGTCTGCACACTGAATTTCTGTCTGGGCATCTCTTTGCCTAATAGTATGTGTTCACATGTACTGTACGTACTACTAGTCAGATCCTTAGAAGCTAGCAAAACATTCAAGCAGAGCTACAGATGTGATGTCAGGCTGGTTCCCATCCCATGACCATCCCCACAATCAGGGAAGACAAGCAACAAGGTAGCAAAACTGGCTGAAGTCCCAACAACGTAGCTTCACAGACCAATGTGCATTCAAGCCACTACCGGTAATTGGCAGTTTATATCCACTTTATTGAACTGGGAAAAGCAGTAGCTGTTTCTACAGCTAAGGATGATTCAAGTCTCTAAGGAAGAATGGGATGAATGAAGCCCTTCACATTTCTATCTGCCCACCAGGTGCATCAGCCCTGCAAGAAAGGTAAGCCAAGGGACAAAGGCACACACAAGGGGAAGGGTTGATTCAGCAAGTAGGTTAGCCAAGGGACGAAGGCACAGGCAAGCAGACCTCTGACTCTAGTGCACACAACGCCATGCAAAACGGCCACCATCTGCCCACTCGTATTGCATCCTCTCTTAGTCTGCTTTCTTTCTACTGAATTCCGCAATCTGACCACGCATTTCCGCTATTTAGGCACCTGCTTCTGCTTAGTGCCCCCTCTATCTGCCATCTATCCACTCGATTCTGTAATCCGTCGATCCGGTTACCCGCTAGAGCTTCACATTCAAATACTAGTCACACATACCCAAAGCGCCAGCCACGTGGCGTAATAAGCGTTGGGGAGCAAAACGACCAATGGTGTCATGCACAATGGTCAGTGGTGCAATGCCATGCCATCAAATGCGAACATAAACGTCACGTCCACGGTGTCCCGTGCTCTGGGCGGGACAATACGTAATGCGCTGCTGACAGCACTAGCCTTATTCGACAATAAACCTACGTATGTACCCTCCTCTGCCACTCTTTCCGATTGACTCACTAATAACACGGATTTACAGGACGTACCCGGAGTAGCCGAATTTGGCGCGGTGGATGTTGCGCTGTCGGATCCAGCAGATGCAGACGCACAGGAGGCAGAACGCCATGCCGAATGTCACGCCTGGAAGAGGTCAACGAGAGCACGCAGCGGAAGTCAATCAACAATAATCTTCATCATCCTTTCTCGTCTCGGGCCACCCTCTTGTTCTCTTAATTGTTCACTGTCCTAAGAGAACGCTAGTTAGATCGCGCACGACCCGGATGGCGATTGTATGACATTGCGACTTTGGCACTTTGGATAACAAAGTTGACAACGAACGGTGCAATTTGATTGGATGAAGATCTGATAATGATGTGACGAGCAGCGATGACTGCTGTGAAGATAAATGGCTGATAGCCAGGCGACTGGCGTGGCGGCGATGTGAAGGGTCATAGTCTAACGAGTTCGAGGGCGCGCAACAGGCTATAATCACTCACCGAGTGCATCCTGGTTTTCGCGTCAACCTCGAACGCGGCTTGCAACAGGCTGTGGGGACTCACCGAGAACAATGCCGATGATGCCTTCGGGACCAATCCCGTCGCTCTTCATCTTGTCGTACGTCCCTTGGAAATCGTACTTGGAGTAGGCGTCTCCCTCCACAGTTCCCGCCTCTTCTTGGCCCGGCAGTTCTGATGGCTCGGTAGCATCGCCGCCGATAACGGTGCCGGCCGGCATGTTCTCCATGTCCTGCGCGATCTGCTCGTCCGTCTTAGGCGGCTCGTCCGCTGGCGGCACATCGACCGGCGCTTCGTCAACCGGCGGCTGGTCGGCGGGAATGTCTTCGGGTGGAATGTCCTGGTTGAATGGGTCTTGCGGCACGCCTTGGTCGCCGTCTGCGGGAACGTTTGCTGGGTAGTCCGTATTATCGCCTGCGAAACCCGCGTTTTGCGGCTCCGGTGGGTAGTCCTCATTCACCGTTGGATCTTGCGCGTGGCATTGTGTGGACGACAGAACTAGGCAGACCAGGGACAGCAGGATAGCCAACCGAGCAAATCTCGCCATTTTGAGTTCTAAATCACCGACGCAATGCCTCAACTCAGACCGTTACCTAACTAGCAGGAGTTGAGACCTTGATACTGAATCTAAGCAGGTGAACTGAACTGAGAAACCAAAATGCTTGACTGAAGAATGGCATTTGAGCTGCTGAAGACCAGAAATATGCTATTCGCTGGTATTCCCTGAGCTCAAAACCAGGGGGTGCTTGAGGCAAGATGTTGCACTACCTAGGCTGTAAGTACGGGCCTCGATATTCGCCAAGCTGGAAGTGGTTCGTGCGAGCCTTGATTTTATCACATCAAAACCGCTCTCGCCGAGCCTCAAGGCGCGGTGCCTCCTTGGTTCGGCTGGGTCACATCTCCCATTTGTGTCGCTAGAGCCTCGCACACAGCTCTGCTCTGTCATCGTCACCCCTGAAAGCGAAGGATTCGGGGTATGGCAAGTTCCAAAAGCACGTCCTGGCGGGAAGCGCAGGTTCGGAAATATGCGAAGTCGGAGGTTACCACTGCAATTCATCAGGCTGCAAATCTTCACTTTCGCAGAGTGACAGTGACCACGCGGGTGGTTGTGGCGAGAGTCTGGGGCAAGCTGGCCCATCTTGAGCGACCACTCCCAGACCAATCACCTGAGAGACGGAATCGCTCAAACCCAACAACCCCAACATGACACTGTCGCTCATGGAACCCTCTGCGTGCAGGCTCCCGCATAACCTGGGGAAGTCTTCCACCTGCGACGCGAGAACAAATCATCCTCGATACTGACTCAGCAAAGGCTTCTTTCTTGAAGGTTCAAGAGTAATATAAACCATTAGGCAGCTACTCAGAGTCGGGTGTAAACAGGCAGAATTGCACTGCCTTTGAGAGGTAACCGTTATCGCGCCATCTCAAACATCTCTGTGCGTTTCGTGTGTTGCGGCTCTTCCCATCCAAATAAATCAAAACTTCGAACCGCGTGTGCGCTCGCATCGCATCCCATCGAATATGTGGCCCAACATTTCAACATTCGGCACACCATGTCATTGCTGCTCCAACAAGGCAAAGCTTCCTCATCGCATTTCACAGATCTGGCTTCCTCACCATCTCCTCTCTTCACTCCATTCATCACATCAGTAGGTGCTGCTCCGTCAAGGTCACGTGCACGTCCGTGCACTCCACACTTCCGCGCCTAAATCTCGGCAAGACGTTTCATTTTTAATCGTGTCGTTTCCCATAGAACGCGTAGTGCCTGGCTCCCTCTAGATTGGAAAGCAAGGTGCCACGAGTGGGCAACATTGTCAAGCAAGGCGCAGACGGTAGAGGAGCTGGGAAAGGAAGAAACAGACACTGGAATGCAGTGGACTACTGAAAGAGGCCGTGAAACACAGAGAGACACCTTGCTACGAGCATTCACTGACCGCGTCATGGACGGCCAGGATCCTGGCCCGCGGAATCACTGCACTTCCTCCAATCATATCTCAAAACAGCGATCCTTTTCCCCGGCGTTCCGCCTCCTCCTCCTCTTCCCCCTCCTCCTAATACCACTGGTACCGCCGGCGTGCTTCGCTCTGCCACACGCCCATGCAACCCTTCACACAGACCTGCCGCGGCACACGAATCCAAGTCCTCTCACTAACGGGTCACTGCCGCCGCCACGTGGACAGCATTGGCCATGGAGATTGGAATCGACGGAGGGGAATTACGGAGACGAGGTGGCAGTCGAGGAACGGGGAGCTGACCCGAGCCTCTACCGCGTTCCTCTCTCGTTCTCTCGCGACCTTTTGCAGAGGGGTAAGAAAATTACTCGCGACACCGGTAGGAATAGTGGGGCTAATACTCGACAGGCGACAGGTGAAGCGAGGGCGAATGCGACAGCTGTGCAAGCAGCGAAGGAAACACCGACGAGAAAGACTACGAGCAATGAAGCGGGAAGGGGGGAGCAGGGCAGGAGTAAAGGAGGTTCGGCATCAGCGGCGCGGACAGGAGACAGCAAGGGGAGTGCAGCGGCAGGGAAGCAAGGAAAAGACGCGGTGGTTTCTCTTCTCGTGCCGGCTCGTAATACGACCAAGCCCGCCGCCACTAGCCGTAATGCAAGTTCCAATGCAGGTTCTAGAATGCCTGTCCCGAGTAGAAGTAATTCGACCAAACCCCATTCCAAGCTACCCGCAAATAATGTCAGCCGCGGGAAGCTTCCCTCTGCGTCACCGAAGGTTCCGGTCGCTGGCAAGTCAAACGCGTCAGCGGCAAGTCCGTCGGGCGGCAAGAAGTGGAGCAAGGGAGCGCCGTCCACGGGAACGATGCCGCCCGCGCAAGGCGGAACACCCGCGCAGGGCGAACCCGGCTCGCAGACGAACGAGCCTGGAGGAGCCACGTCAGCGTCGCGACACAAGGCAACCAAATCCCCCTCGCCTACGAAGAGCAAACAGCCGCCACAGAGCAAACAACCGTCACAGGCCAAGCAACCCTCTGCCAAGCAGCCGGCTACCAAACCAGGCGCCACCAAACCACCACCCCGGAACAATCCACCTTCAAATACAAAACAGCCCCCCCAAACCAAACCCACACCTGGGTCTCAGACTACCAAGCCTCCCACCCATACCAAGCTGCCCACCCAACCCAAGCCTTCCACCATCCCCAAACCTCCAGTACAGACCAAGCCTCCTACCCAATCTAAGCCAGCCAATCAGACGAAGCCGCCGGCGCATACCAAACCTCCTGCTGAAGCAAAACCTCCTAGCCAGGGCAAGCCGTCAGGCGCTCCACCAATCAGACCCAAGATTCAGCTGTTCCACGTGGCAGGCATTAATTCGTTCTGTTTGGATGGCAGGTACGTCTCTGACGGGTCGTGCTCACGTGGCATTAATATGAATTCACACATCAGCCAAACCTTGATGCGTTCTGTGCATGTGTGTCCGTTTCTTTTGTGCGGGTGTATCACATGGGTGTGAGCGTGTGCTGTGTGTGGTTGAACATGAGCGTGTGTTACGTGTGCGTGTGTGCATGTGTGTGTGTGTGCATGTGTGCGTGTGTGCATGTGTGTGTGTGTGTGAGCAGCCCACCAGCCTACTACTACCGCCAGGGGTACGGCAACGGCTCCAACTCATGGCTCGTCTACCTGCATGTGAGCTGATGGGCTGGGTACATGGATGGGCTACATTTGGCACGCCTTACATGGTCCTGCTTCATGCATCCTTATCTCACTTCCTCTCCCATCCCCATCTCCCACCTCTCATCTTCCCCTCCCCAACCCTGCAACTCATTCCCCCTCCCCTATCCCCTTGTCAGGGTGGGGGGTGGTGCCTGAACTTCAACGACTGTGCCCTGCGAGCTGACTCCTACCGCGGCTCCTCCCGCTACTGGCCTTCGCCCTCCTCGCCCTCCAACCTCACCCGCCTCGTATGACCACTCCTTCCCACATGCCCATGTGCCCACCTGCTCATCTTCCCATGTGCTGTGCCCAGATGCACGCCTACCTACACGCACAAATGCTCTAATTTTCCTGCTCATGCTCCCTGCTTCCTTCTCATGCCCCGTTTCTCACGCCCCATCCCACGTTCCCACTCGCACTCTCACCTACTCACCTCCTGTTCTAGCCTTCCATCTCCCCACTCTCCGTTCTCCTTCATGCCACGTCAGATGGCTGGTTACCACATGAGCTTCACAGGCATACTCAGCGGGAACGCAGCTGACAACCCCTTCTTCCACAACTGGAACATGGCAGTCATCATGTACTGCGACGGAGGCGCTTATATGGGGTACAAAGGCCGCATGCAGCAGGGCTCCAAGCGAGTCTTCCTCTCAGGGCACCACATTCTCAAGAACACCATGATTGATCTGCAGCAGCAGAGGGGCATGGGAGCAGCAGCATCAGCGCTCATCGCCGGGTGTTCGGCGGGAGGGCAAGCGGTGGCGGTGGGGTGTGACTGGATGGCCTCGTTTTTGCCACGCTCGGCTAAAGTCAAGTGCGCTACTGATGCTTCCTTCTTTCTCGGTATGACCCGCCTTGTATGCCGCCTCAATGTTGCCGCCGAAGGCAGCTCAAATGTCTGTCACCCACTGCTGCAGTCAAGTGCGCTACTAGTGTGTACCTGCTGGTACGATCCGCTTCCGTGGGTTCGCTGCTTAGAGGTGTCTTTGTGGCATTCTTGTGGTTGATTTGCCCTGCTGCTTTCAAGCGTGCCCTTCCTCCCTATGTTGCTGTTTTTACGAAGGGTGACATGACAGGGTGGTTTGCCCATTGAGGCTGTGTGCCCTATTATTACCTCGTTGCCCCGCCTCTTACGACTCATCCATCTCTCATCCATCCACCATCCACCCCTGCGTTCAGATGAGGCGGACATCACAGGGCAATTCACCTTCAGATCCTACATGCAGCGCATGATCGCCTCCCATTGGTCCGATCGATCTCTCAACACTGAGTGCCTCAAAGGTACCCCAAAGTACCATTGTCATATGATTCTCTTTCCATCCCTTAATTCCGTGCAGTCCATGTTTCCTCTGACGGCGTCCCTGCTCAAACACACCAAGTTATACAACTGTATTCCTAATTTCCCTTTTCCCCTAATTGCAGCCAACACAGGGAATGGGACATGGAGGTGCATCATGCCCCGTACTGCACTGGAGTACAGTAAAACCCCTACACTTGTTGTCAACAGCGTGTTTGATTTGACAGCACTATACATGTCCCTGGCCCGTGGCAAAATCCCCGGGGGTGCTCTCACACAATCAGCAACTACATGCCTCAGCTCAGACGATTTTTCTTCCTGCCCTGCAAGCGTTCTGAAGTTCATCACACTCCATGGAAGAATGTTTCGGACTTCAATATCGTCCCTTCTACAAGTCAAGGCGGCTGCAAATATCCCATTTCGTTCCTGGATATCGAATGGAACAAGTCATTGTGCATTGGCATATTCAAACTGGTCGGCAGCAAACCCAAATGGCTTGGTGCTAAGAGATGCAGTGGCCAGGTGGTTTGCTGAAAATTAGGTCAGTTCTCTAATGTGTATACTAGCATATAAGGTATATGTCTTTGTATGACTAACTTAGTCCTTTTGCAATCGATTTACCATTCGAACTGAACCGTAGAGCTTCTAGATTGTTTTTTCTCAGCCACAAGCCCATGAGGCTTGACTTCCCGAAATTTTTCAATCGGTGCCGTGGAGGCCAATATCGAACGGCGGAAAACTAGTCTTGGCACGGAAGTCCGCTCGCCACGGCGGCGGGCCCGCCGAGGCAATGGGCGCTTCACGCGGCACTTCGTGCGTGCATCATTCCCCGCAACAACACCACAATCCAGCGTGTCGCGCAACTAGGTCCTTGAGAATTCCCCACAGCTCCGCATTTGCCCCTGCTCATCCCAATTACTTTTCGATCTCCGCGCTGTTCTGCACAGCAGACCTTCTAGACCCCCTACGTAATTCCGCCATTCATTCTTCCGCCACATCATTTGTTCCCCTTCCAGCGAATCCACGTACAGCTGCTGCAAACGTAATTCCCCCCCTCCCCATCGCAACTGGAGAATGTCTTGGCTCACTTGCTCCCCCCTCCCTCCATCTCCCGTCCCCCCATTTCCTTCGTCTCCGCTCCCCTCTCCGTCAACCCCGCCAAATGCTGCGGGACTTGCGCATGGGGACCTCTCAGCAAACCCGCCTCACAAGGCTGATGGTGCCTTTGAAACACCCCGAAGGAACTTTAGGCCTAGTGTAGTTCAGTCAAGCCTAGTACTCCGTGCCGTCCTCTTCGTTAGTGAGGTCGGCTGCTTCCGTAATCTCCCACACTTGCTTCGCGTCGCACGTCTAAAACTCGGGGCATCCCTTATTTTTTTCGAGTCCAGCCGAATTTATGTACTACGAAACGTTCGACGCTTGTACCTGTTTTTCTCACGGCTCGTCAGCTTTTGTTTCGGACGTTTCAGCGGGGTCTCGGAGCAAGCATTGTTTCGCAAATAACATTTGTAGGCAGAGTTTGTCGATCTTCCAGAAGTCAAGTCAAAGCGGATCTCCTGACCTGCTGTGCACATCGCTCGTCTGAACAACATCGGTGTTAAACTTCAGTAGCGGACTAACTTAGCCTTCGACAGCTGTTTCCTAGTCTACTGGAATTCGCATCGTACGCCGTTTCAGAGATCTCGAAACCGATGGACTCCACGCGCGACGACGTGCACACACCCAGCAAGCGGCACAAAGGCTACAACGGCTTCCCTAGTCCCACAGAGGGCCACGAGCAGCAGCCGCCGCAATCATCGCCGTCTCCTTCTCCTGGTCAAGCCCAGGCGCAGTATTCCGTGCAACAAGCGTACGCCTCTCCGCAGCAAGCGTACGGCGCCCCCCAGCAATACACCTCCCCGCAGCAACCGTACGCGTCCCCTCATCAACCATTCAACACGCCGGTCACCGCGTCGCATGCAGTCGGCCCGGTTTCTGGAAATAACGGGATCGGTGGTTCGCCCTTGACTACCGCCATGGCTCCCCCCAACGCTCCGTCAGTCGCGCTGGAGCTAACGCATGGCGGCTCCCAACCTGTCTCCGCCGCCTCTACCCCTGTCCGCGCGCATTTTGTCGACGCGTCTCAGTCTACCCCTGTCCGCGCGCACCAACCGCACTCCCCCTCCCCCGCCTCCGCTGCTGCGCACGCGTCTGCGGTCACGGTTGTGCAGGCATCTCCGCTTACTGTTGCGCCCAGTCCCTCCCCATCTCCCGCTACGGGAACTCCCGGAGCCGTCGCAGCGTCGCCAGGCGGAGTAGGTGCATCGCCGGGTGGAGTAGCGCCGTCGCCAGGAGGAGTCGCAGCGTCGCCAGGGGTCGCAGGGTCAATGCACGACCCGCCGTGCGCGGCGTGCAAGTCGCTGCGGCGGAAGTGCACGCGCGAGTGCATCTTCCTGCCGTACTTTCCCCGTGACGATCCTGAGAAGTTTGCGCGCGTGCACAAAGTGTTTGGAGCCAGTAACGTGTCCAAGATGCTGCAGGTGAGCCCAACTGGATGCCCTCACCCTCTTCCCTGGTCTCATGGCCTGTCTCGCCCTACTTTCATCCTTCCCCTGACACTCCCTTATCCCGCTGTTGGAGGATCTGTACGTGACATGCCCCACTGTCCCTTAGCCAATTTTCCCATCTTTTCAACATAACTGACTTGTGGTTTCCCATTGCTCTTTCCTCCCTGGTGTTCATGTCTTGTGGCTGTGACTGCACCATGCATCAGGAGCTGCCCTTACACCAGAGGGAGGATGCAGTGGCGAGTCTAGAGTATGAAGCACAGGCCCGGGTGCAGGATCCAGTCTATGGCTGCGTTGGCATTCTCTGCGTGCTTCAGGTACAGAAATGATGGTGCTTGTTTGTGTTTCACTCAATGCCGGCATTGCCTGTTCGCATCTCTGGTTGCTGCATGTATTGACACTCCTTTTGTGGACTGCTGTATTGTGCAGCGACAAGTGGTTGCACTGAGGGAGCAATTGGCAGCAGCCCAGTCACAGGCACAGATGCAGTTAGGGAATGGTGGTGTTGATGTCAATGGCCAGGCGGAAGTCCCACAACAACCATCCCCAGCAGCAAATTTAGCCACAGGAGGAGCTTCTTAGTCTGAGATGGCCATCTTGTCGAATGGCTGCAGCAGTGATTGATGTATTAGTAGACGTGTTTTGCCAATATATGTGTTTTGGTTAGAGATTTTGAAATAGTGGTGAGGAACTTGAATCTGAAGTCATGCAAAATCTACGAAATGACAGTGACGAAGTATTGTAACACGGCGATGGACTGTAGCATCTCTCACGAATCAACCGTTAGCCATTTCCCCCCACCACTCGGCCCCCTCTCGCGCCGTGCAGCTGGCCTGCGCTCCGCATGCGGACGAAGCATCAATTGGAAACGTGGCAGCGCCGCGTTGGCGGACCTCGAGACTTGCGCCCTCCTCCCCCTTACCATTTTTGCGCCCACTTGTGCCTGGCAGTGGCACGGAAACACCCAGCTGTGGATGGTTTGACCATGTAGGGCTGGTGAAAGGACATTCCCAAGGCGCGTGCCTTTCAACCCAAAATTATCTAGCCTAATTACAACGAGCCGATCCCAACCACGCAAACAAAGCACCCAGGGATATTCCCAAGGGGCACGATTCCTTTCATGCCACAAACATCTGGATTGCATTCCCAAGAACAAGACACTCCTCCAGGCACCAGTCTTCTCAATGTGTAGTTGTTGCGTTATGTCTTCAGCCTAAGCAGAAGCAAGCTACGACGGCATCAACCTAATCAGTTCGAGAAACTGCTCGAGCGTTGGCAAATATTTATGTGAAGATTGGTTTGTACACGTCCACCGTCGGTTCTTTTGTTTGACTCAATCTGCAGCTCAGGTCAAAGGCTCAGGATTAAGTAAAAACTCCAGAATAATTCGCGGCTCAGGGCTCGAGGCAAGATGGGGGTCCTTTCGCGGCGAGTAGTGCCGCTGTGCGCGGACGTCTTCTGCTTTCCCTGTCCGCAGATGCGCTCGCGCTCTCGCAAACCCATGAAGCGCTACAAGCAGTACCTCGCGACGATTTTCTCAGCGTCAGATGTACGTCTTAGACCCCACTGAATGCTCTTTTATCGATTACCAACCCCAAATGGTAGAGAGGTATCAGTTTTGTTGTTCACCTCGTAGCTCTCGTTGATTCGTAGTTCTCTTGTTGGTGTCTCACCCTGCATTCCGGTCTGTTCCGTTTGTCTTCGTGCCAGAAAGGAAACGTTGACGAGAAGCAGATAGGAAAGCTTGCGGATTACGCAGCGGGAAACCCGGACCGCATTCCGAAGATAGTGGCGAAGCTTGAGGAGCGAGCTATTCGCGAGCTGCGTGCCGAGCGGTTCGGGTCGCTACCCGCCGTGGCTCGGTCGTACTCGAAACTTCTCTCTTCGTGCCAGAGCTCCCTGTGAGTGCACATCCGGTCGCCACCACTCCGCATAGAATGACCCGTCTGGATTCCTGCCATCACTCCCTCCCTTCATCCCCGCTCGCGAACAAAGGACCGCACGTCGCTCACATTCGAGTTTTGACTGGCTACGTTCTTTCACGGCCTCCCCACTTTCCCCTCCTCCTCTTCCTCCCTCTGAACTCTCCTGTTGGCTCTCTTTTGTTGTCGGCAGCGCGCTGCTGGCGTGGAGCGTGCTGAGCGTGGTGCAGAAGCTGCTGCAGAGCAAGCGCGTGGACGTGCGCGTGCTGGGCAGCGATCTGCTCGCGGATTTCGTGGACTGCCAGTCGGATGCCGCGTACGCCGCGTCCATTCAGAAGCTCTGCCCCACGCTCGTCGCCATGGCGCACGAGGCCGGCTCGCAGGAAGACTCCCGGGCCGCCAGGTCGTCCGCGTTAAGAGCAATCGCCGCTGTGGTCAGTAGACTGTGCACAACTACACGTATGAGCTGCATTGTGTTCTTCCTGCGATTCACCTCGTGTCATGCTCCGCATATCATGTGCTTATTATTACATGCAGTGTGCAATCTGTCATGCCCTATGCCTTGCCTTGCCTCTTTACCTGTTTGCCTGTCCCTCTCCCCTCAACCCCCCCTCCCCCTTCCCACATAATGCAGATCCTCTTCGTCTCCTACTTCTCCCAGCCCTGCGACTGCCTTGACCAGGTTACCTCCCACCACCCTCCTTCCTGTCCCTTCGCCTTCCCCCTCTTCGTCTATGCCCCTCTCTCCTTGTCAGTCCCTTTTGTCCCGTCCTCTCAGTCCTGTGCCTTGACCAAGTACCCTTCCACCAACTTCCCTCCTTCCCCTTCCCCCTCTCTTCCCCCTCTTCGTTTCTGTCCTCCCGTAACCGTCTCCCTGCATCTGCTGGCGGCCGTGCTGGACAACTACAAACCGCACGCAGCAGCAGGCGCAGGTTTAGTTGCAGTAGGCTCCGAAGAGTGATTCCCAGTATCTCCCTCCCCATCCCCCCCTTTTCCCTCTTTGCCCATGCCCCTGCAGCTGCTGGCGGCCGTGCTGGACAATTACAAGCCGCACGCAGCAGGCGCAGGGGACGAGGGGGCAGCAGCAGCGGATAAGGTGCGGGAGAGGACGCACGAGGCGCTCAAGAAGCTGACGCTGCAGCAGCAGCAGCAGCAGGGGGGTGGTGGCAAGGAGAAAGAGGGGCTGCATCAGGAGAGGAAGCTGGTCACTCCACTGCCCTCCAAGTCAGTACTCTGCCTTACTCCTTTATATTAGAGCACCTTGCCTTCTTCCTAGGTGTCCTTCCTTGCTCACGCACACCCTTTCACTCTGCGCTTCACGCCCTAGTTCACGCCCTACCTTTTTATCCCCCCATTGCGCCTTCTCTCTTCTCCCACACCCCAGGCAGGAGCTACAGCACCCAGAAGTGGCAGCGCTGGTGGCGGTGTGGGCCCTCGCGCACATGTTTGCAGCCGCGGTGTCACTCTCCTCCCAGCAGGTGCTGGCGCATCTGCTGCTCTACCTCTCCAACGGCTCCCACTGGGCCGCACCTGCTAGCCAAGGCGACGCAGCAGCAGCAGGAGCAGCGGGGGCGGCAGGCAGGGGAGGGGTTGCAGGGCAGCTGCTAGAGGATATCTGTCTGGCTCTCCGGTTCCTGGGTGAGTGCCCGCGTTTCTAGCAGGTATTCACCATAGAGACTTGTCATGTTTTTGGGTCACTCACAAGGGGAGGGGTTTCAGGGCAGTTGTTAGAGGATACATGTCTGACTCTCTGGTTCCTGGGTGGGTGCATGTGTTCCTGGCAGTTTTTTTTATGGGGACTCCCCGCGCCCTCCCCCTGTACTTCCCCGTCCACTACTCAACCTTCTTCTCTTCTTTTCTCTGTCTCTCTCCCTTACTCCCTCCCCGACTCCCGCTTCCCAGCCACTCGCTCTCCTTCGCCCACCAAGGAGGAGCGGCGGCTCCTACTGGCGCTGCTGGCAGCGGTGATCCGCCACGCAGACTCCTCCCCCGCCCTGCGCTCCCCCCGGATGCGCCACGACGCCCTTGCTGTCGCGGGGGGCCTGCAGCTGGCGCACCTGCTGCTGGCGGACGGGGGGAAGTGGGCGGAGGGGGGGAAGGAAACCGGGGGAGAGGGCGCAGGGGGGGGGCCCGGGATTGGGGAGGAGAAAAGGGAGATTGGCGCAGGGGGGGCGGGAGGGGCGGTGAGCATGAGAGGAGGACCGGAGGCAGCGAGTGAGGTGCAGGCAGTAGGTGACTTATTGCGGATACTGAAGCGTAGTATAGTGGAGGAGAAGCAGGGGGGCGGCATGGACGATAATATCATAGGGGAGGGGCAGGTGGGCGGCGGCGTGTCGTTCAGACGGAGACAAGGGGAGCAGCCAGCGTTGCAGGAGCAGGCGCTGAAGCTGCTGGTGCTGGTCACGTCATTGCATGTAAGTAGGAGCTGAAGTGAGCCAGGTGGGCGGTGGTGTGACATTCAGAAGGAGACAGGGCGAGCAGCCTGCTCTGCATGAACAGGCGCTGAAGCTGCTGGTGCTGGTGACATCGTTGCATGTGAGTGCTTCTTGGTGAACCCATATGTGCAACCTCCGATCTGACCCCTCAATCAGTCCTTCTCAAACCCCTGCACTCCCCGCCACTCCCATCACTCCCTGTCACTCCCCTTCACTCCCCTTCACTCCTCTGCCTCCCTATTTCCCCCCGTAACCTCACCAGGCGGGCAGTCCCAGAGACTGCGCAGCTCTTCTGCTGTACGACACAGCAGTGTTCCTCGAGTCCCTCCCATCACTCCCCTTCACTCCCTTCACTCCCCTGTCTCTCTGTTCTCCCCCCTAAACCAACCACCAGGCGGGCAGTCCCAGAGACCGCGCAGCGCTGCTGCTGGACGACACAGCAGTGTTCCTCGAGTCCCTCCCGTCCGACCCCTGGGGCTCCTGGGCCACGCTCGTTGCTGCAGAGGCTGCTGCCGCCGTTGTCGTGCTGCCTGTGGCTGTGGCGGTGGAGAGAAACGAGGGGGAGGAGGGGGAGGAAGGGGATGAGGGGGAGGAGGGCAAGAGGAAGGGCTCTGGAACCCTGGTAAGTCATTCTACTTGTTGGGTGCGCATCTATTTGGTTTGTTATTGAGACGTCTCAAGGACCGTTCTTGAACCCTGTGTTTTTTTATGTCTTTCCTTGAATTCCACCACCATTACCAACAAAACAGGGAAGCTTCCCGGACGCTGCACTCCTCAGCATCCTCCGCGCCTTCCTGCACCCGCACTCCGAGACAAGAGACGCCGCCCACCACCTGCTGCAGCTTCTCCTTCGGGGCCCAGCAGCCTTTCCCGCAAACGACAGAGACTGCTACGGTCTCGTCATTGCAGCCAGTGCTGTCAGCACCACCACACCACCCGCCAGTGCTCCTGCTGCTCATCCACTCGCCCCCATAGAAGACATCAAACGACCCCCTCTGTCCCCCTCGCCGTCCCAGCTGCCTCTGCTGCTCTCCGCGCTCTGGTTGCAAGCAGCCATGCCCTCTACCGCCCCCAAGTCCCTCTGCGCTCTCTCCTCCACCTTCCACGCCCTCCTGCCCTGCCTCTCCACCAAGCCTCCCCCTTCCTCCTCCGCCTCCCCCTCCTCACAATCTCTTTCCTCCTCGCTCCTCCAGTCCTTCCAGCTCGCCCTCTCCCTCCGCCGAAAGGCTCTCTCGCTGCCTTCCGTTGCAGCTCAGGGGGCGGCAGGGAGAGGGGCGGGGGGTGCAGGGGCAGAAGTGGAAGAAGAGAGGGGAGGGGGAGGAGGAGGGGAGGCGGAGTGGTTGATAGGGCCGGTGGACCGGCGCTCGGTGTTCACTGTAGCGACTGCCATGCTCGCAGGGCTGGCCAGCAGTCTGGGCATGGAGGAGGTGGCAGCGTTTGTCCTGTCTGAAGAAGCTTCGTCGGCAGCTCTGGTGGGTGTTTTCATTGGTGTATGGCTGTTCGTACGCATCTGCCTAGTTCCCCTTTCCCTTCCTCTGCAGCTTCTGTTGCTGTCGCTACCGCTTCTCGATCTATTCGTGAGTGCGCATTTGGTTGGCATCGTAAGTGACTGTTCTGCCTGCTACCATGCATATCTGCCTGCGACCCCTCATTCATGTGCTCCTTCTCTCTTTCTTCCCCCTCTTCTTCCCACGCCCCACTTTCCCCCCCTCCGCCACCTCTCCCCCTCCCTCACTTCCCCCCTACGCCAGTCCAACCCCTTCCACGTCATCAATCCTGACGGCACGCTCTCAGAGCATGTTTTGAGTCGACTCAAACACTCAAAACACACCCCTCCCTCCCTCCCTCCCTCCCTCCCTCCCTCCCTCCCTTCCCCCCCACGCCAGTCCAACCCCTTCCACGTCATCAATCCCGACGGCACGCTCTCAGAGCGCCGCCCGCCCACCTCTCAGAGCGCGTTCGGCTCGCCAGCTGACTCAGAGCGGGCGGCGGCTGAGCTGGCAGGGGCGAGCAGCAGAGAGGAGGAGGTGCAGGTGCAGCTGGGGGAGAAGATAGCTGCTGCAGTTGTAGCTTCGGTGAGTGTGGTGCAGTAGTGGGTTGAGTGCGGTGCAGCATTGGGCTGTACGATAGTTCCAGCTGGGGGAGGTGACAGCTGCTGCATTCGTGACAGCGGTGCATGTGTGCGTGAATGTGAATGTGAATGTGAATGTGAATGTGACGGAGTATTGGGGTGAGGGTGCGCGTGTAGTACAAGTTGTCAAGCCCTGAAAGTTACTGGTATTCAGGCATAGCTGATTCCCTCCCCTCACCTACCCCCTCTCCAATTGCCAACTACCGGTCCTCAAAGGGGGGGGGGCAGGGCTCTCAGTGGAGCCGGCATTGCTGCTGGCAGCCTCCCACCCCTTAGACCCACTCTTCCTCATGCCTGCCGTATTCTGTCTCACCCTTTCGACTCTACCCTTCCTACAGTTCCCCGGGCACTGAGTGGAGCCGGCATTGCTGCTTTCCACCCGTCAGACTCACTCGCCCTCACACCTGCCTTACCTTTCCCTCCCTTACAACTCTACCCTTCTTACAGTTCCCGGGGCACTCAGTGGAGCCAGCGTCGCTGCTTTCACCCTTCCACCCGTCAGACTCACTCGCCCTCACACCTGCAGCCGACATGCTCGCTGCTGTCGCTGCTGATTCCACTGCTCCCATCCTTCCCTCCTTCGAGGTACCCTCTCGCTTTTTCATCACTTCATTTCTTCTCTTTTCTTTCTTTAAGCTTTTGAGGAAATTTTCGGAGTCTTCGCTCTGTGCCCCACCGTTCCCCCTTTTCCTCCTTCTCTTGGCCTCCAACATCACTGACCTTAAATGAGTAGCATTGCACAACCCTTTCTCCTAACCTCCCCATTGTGTGCGTCCTCTCTTCCCACTCCTTTCCTATGCACACCAGGACTTGCCTGCTGCCATTCCTGATGAGGAACTCTTCCGAGCCTCCTCTGTTCCGGACCTGGCAAGGCCCGGCCAAGGCAGCAACGATGGGAGCAACCGAGGCTCGGACAATGCTGGTGCTGCTTTGGCGGATGATAAAGCAGGTGCAAGTGTACCGAGTGTGGAGCAGATATTGGAGTCGTTACAAGAAGATCAAGAGATTGTTGCCGACACAAGTCTTGCAGGTGTAACAGGTGGTGAAGCGTCAAGTGTAGATGCCGCTTTGGCAATTTTGGATGATTGAGTAGAGGGTGTGATATACATTAATCTTATGCATGGTTTGTACCGTATCAGGTCTGTGATGGTTTCTATGTATTGTAGGTGTCCATTTTAGTGTAGGAAGGACCCTGTAAAGTGTTGGTGTTTTAAGAGTTGTATTTTGAATAAAGGGCTAGTCAACCATGTGCCTTCATGCTGGTTTCATTAGCTTAGCACTGGGTATTTCTTATGCTTGATTTGACACGTGCTTGCATGCCAACCGGCTAAATTGCTACGTAAATATACAGGCACAGCGAGGAAATTTGTAACGAGGTACAATCTCAAACGCCCATGCCCTTCGTGCACCTCACCACCACAAACCCCACAACCTCCAACCCACAACCTCGGGAGAGTCTGCGACCTTCGAATTCGCCCCATCATTTGTTCAGCACACAACGCGGGCCTGTCGCCGAGGGTATAGACTCGAGAGTGGAATCGTAGCGTGGAGGAGCCTTTGAGAAATCCCATAAAGGGCCTCCAATATGGCGGTGGACGGTGAGAAGGACGGGAAGAAGTCGAGCGGCAAGAAACGGAGAGCGGATCCAGCCAATGAAGGCGATCCACGTGTCGGCGCGGACATAGGCACCGTTGCGACAGCGGTAAGCACGGCGGGATACGCGGCGTCGGCCGGGGAAGGGAAGAAGAAGAGAGCGCGGAAGGCCAGGGGCGAGAGGAGTGGGCGGGCCACGCTTGAGGAAGGCGGGGGGGAGAAGGGGAGGCTTGCAGATGGGCGGGACGAGGCGGAGGAGAACGAGGGTGAACAGGGGGAAGCGGAGCAACAGGGGGAAGCGGCAGGCGCAGCAGCTGAGGATAGGTTGATAGCAGGGGCGGAAGACGCGGAACTGGGGGAAGATGCGGAAGAGGAGGAAGCGGAAGAGGGGGAAGTTCCGCAAGACGACAATGATGCCCAGGGGTTCGCGGAAGCGGACGCGGAGCTTTTCCCGCGCGAGCTACTTCCGCAACTAGACGCGGAAGCCGCCAGCCAGAAGCGCATCAAGGCGCGCAAGCTGGTCGCGGAAGCCGCGGCGGCTGCTGCGCGGAGTGCCGCCCAGGGGAAAGAACGCGGAAGCGGTAGCGGAGGGGGAACGGTGGCAGCAGCGGCCGCGGCGGCGGCGGCGGCGGAGTGGTTTCAGGCGCAGGTGGTGGCGAACTGCGGAAGAAGCATGTCGTCTGTGGAGCGCGAACGAGTGATCCCAGGTGCGCTGTGATGTGCCTGCATCAGGGGTTAGTCAGGGTTGAGGGGTTAAGAGCGCATGGGTCCAATCCAAGTTGTTCAAGCACAGCTAGTGGCGAATTGCGAGAGCTGTCTGTCGCCCATGGAGCGCGAACGAGTGATCCCAGGTGCGCTGCGAGGGGCCTGCCCAAGGAGTTAAGACAACAATATTCTGGGTTCAAGGGTTCAAGTTTTGCCAACAATTTCACTCTTCCAATCCTCTCCCTCTCCCTCGCCCTTCCCCTCCCCTGTCCCGGTGCAGCCTCGTCAATTGCGATCTACAACATCCACCCACCCTTCTCGCAGCAGAGAGGCTCGCCCCACTCGTTCTGCCACATTCCTTCTCATTTGCCCCTCTTACCCCCCCCTGTCTCCCCTCACCTCTCCCCGCCTCCCCTCCAGCCTCGTCCGTTGCGATCTACAACATCCACTCACCCTCCTCGCAGCAGCAGCCCGCCCCCAGCACCACCTCCCAGGCGCCCGGAGCACAACCGGGCGGCAGGGGACCGGGCGGCGGACGAGCGGGCGGCAGAGGGGCGGGCGGCAGGGGAGCAGGGAGGGGAGCTAAGGGCGGCAGCGAGTCTGCCGCCGCCCACGTGGGGCCGACTCTTGCCGACCACCTGAAGCGCACTCTCGGCGCCACGTGGCGTTCTCTGCTGCTGCCACCTGGCGACAAGCAAGAAACAGACAAAGATCAACAGAAGGGGCAAGGGCGGAAGGCAAAGGGTCAGAATCAGCAGCAGGGGCAGCGGCAGCAGCAGGGGCAGCAGGGGCAGCAGGGGGGAGAAGGAGAGGAGGGAGAGCAGTGGGAGGCGGGGAGTCCGGTGGTGCTAATGGTGTCAGCGTCGGCAGTGCGGTGTGTGGATCTGCTGAGGGCGTGCAAGGGCGTGGGGCGTGGTTGCCGCGTGGCTAAGCTGTTCGCTAAACACCTGAAAGTGGAGGAGCAAGTTGAGATGCTGAAAGGCCCCGTGCATATTGCAGCGGGTACTCCCAATAGGTGAGTCATTCTGGGTTGTGAGGTGCTGCCCAGTCAAGAATGGGTGTCGTGTGGCTAAGCTGTTCGCCAAACACCTGAAAGTGGAGGAGCAGGTGGAGGTGCTGAAAGGGCCCATGCACATCGCTGCGGGTACTCCCAACAGGTGAGTCTTGTGAAGCTGAGAGGGCGCCAACTCCCTGCTGTTCACATTTCCCACCCACCACTGCTGCAACCAGACTGGTGAAGCCGCTACCTCCCTCACATGCTCCATCCCACCCTCCACCCACCTCCATCCCACCCTCCACCCACCTCCCTACCGATGCACCTCCAGGCTGCTGAAGCTCCTCTCATCCGGTGCCCTGCGCCTAGCATGCCTGCGCGTGCTGGTGCTGGACATGCTGCCATCGCCAAAGGCCTTCACTCTCCTCTCCATGCCCGACGTCCGGTGAGCCTAGCGGCCTGTCTCGCTTTCCCATATGCCCCATGGCCCCCATTCTCCAGCCGCCCTTTCCTTCTCCCTGCCCTTCTTTTTGTCTACTGCCCTGACTTGTGCGCCCTCTACTGCAAGAGTCTCAGCATTTAGTCTTGACTGCACTCACGAGTCACCTTGCGACACTGATCCCCTCCTTCTCCCTTCCCTCGTCTACATTTTCCTGCTTTCCCTTCCCTCCCCTCCCTTCCCCTGTTTCCCTTCCCTCGCCTCTTAACAGGGTCGAGTTCTGGGAGCTGTATCTCAAGCATCTGCATGAACCGGTTCTTTCTGGCTCTGCTGTGCTGGCGCTCCATGATTGGACCGGCGACACCTCGCCGCCCAAAGGGGGCGGCGGGAAGAAGCTTTCTGGAGAGCAGATGAAGGGAAAGAAGCGGGCGGCAGCAGGTGCAAGGGGGGGAGAAGGAGAAGGAGGAGAAGGAGGAGGAGGAGGAGGAGGAGGAGGAGGAGGAGGAGGAGGAGGAGGAGGAGGAGGAGGAGGAGGAGGAGGAGGAGGAGGAGGAGGAGGAGGAGGAGGAGGAGGAGAGGGAGCAGGGGACGCAGGAGACGCAGCAGTAGGGGAAGAGGGGCTGCAGAAGAAACAGAAAAAGAGGAAAACTTCTAAGGCAACGGCTGGAGCTATGAGTGGGGCTATGGAGGACGGGGCAGCGGGAGAAGGGGAGGCAGCAGGGGGGTTGGCAGGGGATGGACGCAAGGGGAAAGGGGGACGTGAAAGGGGGAGAGGCAGAAGAGGTGGCGGTGGGGGGAGGGGTGGCGGAAGAAGGGGTGGTGTGGCTGGAGGTGGTTTAGTGAGAGGCTTTGGGGGAAGAGGTGGTGGGGGAAGGGGTGGTAGGGGGAGGGGTGCTGGAGGGAGGGGTGGTGGAGGAAGGGGAGGGAGGGGACGGGGTGGTGGCGACAGGCGTAGTGCTGATTAATACACAAGCAGGTAGGCTCTGCTTGTCTGTGACAGAGGGTATGGTGTGGTGGCGGGGGGCAGCAGGGGCGGCAGGGCAGGAACCAGGTGGGAAGACAGGGCGGCAGGGCGGTGGGAGGAGGTGGTGGTGATAAGAGAGCCAGGAATACGGGGGTCAAAAGCACGATGGCTGGACTGGAGAAGGCAAGGCCAGGCATCCACATGCATTGTGTGGCGTGTCACTCAGGGTAGCCTAGCCGTGTACCATGTTCACAGCATGTTTTAACAAAATAATCTTAAATTAATAATCAAGATGTGCTTTTCCTGCAGCTGATCTGCAAATGCACCGGTGCTTGCAATTTGCAATTAGTAACTCGACCATGCGTTTCAATGGAATATTGTGCATACCGTGTGTGTTCCGCTGAGGTGACGGGTCAGTGTCAGTTCTGCATGCCTAGTGCTGCAGCTCCCACTAGGTTCCCTGTGCGTGCCCAGCCACTTGTATCCACCAGCTACTCCATACTGTGCCATGTCATTACGGCACCAGTCCAATCTTGTGTACAGCTGCTAAGCTGGTGTGTGATGCTGTAATGATGTGTGCATTTCAGGACTGCAAGGAAAGAAGACGTTCCCTCTCCTTTTACAATTCATTTACTGTTTAGTATGTAGTAAGAGGTTTGTGATTGACAGAGCACGATATAATTCTTCATCCCTTCTTTACTTACGGTAAAAGGTTACACAAGACACAAACCATCACCACTTGGCGATGTGGCATTTGCTAAAACAAATCATGCTCAGCTCAGCTCAAATCATCTACCACTAATGTCACCAGCAGCAGCGGCAGCAGCAGTGACTGACAACAGGCCTTTTATGAGAGCAAAAGCTCTTCAAATCATAGAAGAAGCGGAGAACAAGCGTGTGTAGTCTCAGCAGAGTCAGAGCAGCAGGCCAGGCGGTTCCCCATCAGAGCTGTGTGCTTTGAGCTCCCAGTCTATTGGACTCGGTGTCTGATTCACTGTGGCTGATGGGCGGATAGGGGGGGCGAGAGAGGAGGGGAACGCTTGGAGGATGAGCATGCGGGGATGATGGAGTCATCATAGCTTATTATGCGTGTGTATATGAGAGCATGTGTGGATGATGGAGTCATCATAGCTTATTATGCGTGTGTATATGAGAGCATGTGTGGATGATGGAGTCATCATAGCTTATTATGCGTGTGTATATGAGAGCATGTGTGGATGATGGAGTCATCATAGCTTATTATGCGTGTGTATATGAGAGCATGTGTGGATGATGGAGTCATCATAGCTTATTATGCGTGTGTATATGAGAGCATGTGTGGATGATGGAGTCATCATAGCTTATTATGCGTGTGTATATGAGAGCATGTGTGGATGATGGAGTCATCATAGCTTATTATGCGTGTGTATATGAGAGCATGTGTGGATGATGGAGTCATCATAGCTTATTATGCGTGTGTATATGAGAGCATGTGTGGATGATGGAGTCATCATAGCTTATTATGCGTGTGTATATGAGAGCATGTGTGGATGATGGAGTCATCATAGCTTATTATGCGTGTGTATATGAGAGCATGTGTGGATGATGGAGTCATCATAGCTTATTATGCGTGTGTATATGAGAGCATGTGTGGATGATGGAGTCATCATAGCTTATTATGCGTGTGTATATGAGAGCATGTGTGGATGATGGAGTCATCATAGCTTATTATGCGTGTGTATATGAGAGCATGTGTGGATGATGGAGTCATCATAGCTTATTATGCGTGTGTATATGAGAGCATGTGTGGATGATGGAGTCATCATAGCTTATTATGCGTGTGTATATGAGAGCATGTGTGGATGATGGAGTCATCATAGCTTATTATGCGTGTGTATATGAGAGCATGTGTGGATGATGGAGTCATCATAGCTTATTATGCGTGTGTATATGAGAGCATGTGTGGATGATGGAGTCATCATAGCTTATTATGCGTGTGTATATGAGAGCATGTGTGGATGATGGAGTCATCATAGCTTATTATGCGTGTGTATATGAGAGCATGTGTGGATGATGGAGTCATCATAGCTTATTATGCGTGTGTATATGAGAGCATGTGTGGATGATGGAGTCATCATAGCTTATTATGCGTGTGTATATGAGAGCATGTGTGGATGATGGAGTCATCATAGCTTATTATGCGTGTGTATATGAGAGCATGTGTGGATGATGGAGTCATCATAGCTTATTATGCGTGTGTATATGAGAGCATGTGTGGATGATGGAGTCATCATAGCTTATTATGCGTGTGTATATGAGAGCATGTGTGGATGATGGAGTCATCATAGCTTATTATGCGTGTGTATATGAGAGCATGTGTGGATGATGGAGTCATCATAGCTTATTATGCGTGTGTATATGAGAGCATGTGTGGATGATGGAGTCATCATAGCTTATTATGCGTGTGTATATGAGAGCATGTGTGGATGATGGAGTCATCATAGCTTATTATGCGTGTGTATATGAGAGCATGTGTGGATGATGGAGTCATCATAGCTTATTATGCGTGTGTATATGAGAGCATGTGTGGATGATGGAGTCATCATAGCTTATTATGCGTGTGTATATGAGAGCATGTGTGGATGATGGAGTCATCATAGCTTATTATGCGTGTGTATATGAGAGCATGTGTGGATGATGGAGTCATCATAGCTTATTATGCGTGTGTATATGAGAGCATGTGTGGATGATGGAGTCATCATAGCTTATTATGCGTGTGTATATGAGAGCATGTGTGGATGATGGAGTCATCATAGCTTATTATGCGTGTGTATATGAGAGCATGTGTGGATGATGGAGTCATCATAGCTTATTATGCGTGTGTATATGAGAGCATGTGTGGATGATGGAGTCATCATAGCTTATTATGCGTGTGTATATGAGAGCATGTGTGGATGATGGAGTCATCATAGCTTATTATGCGTGTGTATATGAGAGCATGTGTGGATGATGGAGTCATCATAGCTTATTATGCGTGTGTATATGAGAGCATGTGTGGATGATGGAGTCATCATAGCTTATTATGCGTGTGTATATGAGAGCATGTGTGGATGATGGAGTCATCATAGCTTATTATGCGTGTGTATATGAGAGCATGTGTGGATGATGGAGTCATCATAGCTTATTATGCGTGTGTATATGAGAGCATGTGTGGATGATGGAGTCATCATAGCTTATTATGCGTGTGTATATGAGAGCATGTGTGGATGATGGAGTCATCATAGCTTATTATGCGTGTGTATATGAGAGCATGTGTGGATGATGGAGTCATCATAGCTTATTATGCGTGTGTATATGAGAGCATGTGTGGATGATGGAGTCATCATAGCTTATTATGCGTGTGTATATGAGAGCATGTGTGGATGATGGAGTCATCATAGCTTATTATGCGTGTGTATATGAGAGCATGTGTGGATGATGGAGTCATCATAGCTTATTATGCGTGTGTATATGAGAGCATGTGTGGATGATGGAGTCATCATAGCTTATTATGCGTGTGTATATGAGAGCATGTGTGGATGATGGAGTCATCATAGCTTATTATGCGTGTGTATATGAGAGCATGTGTGGATGATGGAGTCATCATAGCTTATTATGCGTGTGTATATGAGAGCATGTGTGGATGATGGAGTCATCACAGCTTATTATGCGTGTGTATATGAGAGCATGTGTGGATGATGGAGTCATCATAGCTTATTATGCGTGTGTATATGAGAGCATGTGTGGATGATGGAGTCATCATAGCTTATTATGCGTGTGTATATGAGAGCATGTGTGGATGATGGAGTCATCATAGCTTATTATGCGTGTGTATATGAGAGCATGTGTGGATGATGGAGTCATCATAGCTTATTATGCGTGTGTATATGAGAGCATGTGTGGATGATGGAGTCATCATAGCTTATTATGCGTGTGTATATGAGAGCATGTGTGGATGATGGAGTCATCATAGCTTATTATGCGTGTGTATATGAGAGCATGTGTGGATGAGAGCGAGGGCTGAGCGGTGTGCACTCACCCTGCGGCAGGGCGCTGAGAGCGAGGTGGAGCAGGCGGCGCTGCAGGAGAGCAGCGATGGCGAGGAAGAGCGAGCACATGAGGAACATGGCTGTCATGGGGAAGGCTCGCACCTGACGGAGAATGGGGTGAGAGAGAGAGGGAAGGTGGAGGAGGAGCAGAACGAAGATAAGGAATCAGAGGAGAATGAAAAGTGGGCACATGAGGAGCATTGCCGACATGTGGAACGCTCCCACCTCAGGGAGGCAGATACAGGGGGGGGGGGGGGCATGGGGTAGAGCACCCACGTGGTACAGCCCTGACATGGCAGGACGAGGTGATGCAGACTCACATGGCAGGACGAGGTGATGCAGACTCACATGGTAGAGCACGAGGCAGACGAAGACGTTGAGGGGTACGCGGAAGAAGTTCATGATGGTGGATCGGGACTCCTCAGGCAGGTACTGTGCTCGCATGCGCATGAGCGACGGCCAGAACACGCCCACGCACGCCTCAAACACACAGAACCCCGCCAGCTGCACGCGGCCTCCCGCTGTGATGCCGCCCCCTGGTGGAGGGTGGGGCTCCAGGACCCACTGGGGGGGAAAAGGGGTGGGAAGAGAGGGAGAGAGTGTGTGTAAGCATAACAGAAGTTGAAAGATGGAAGAGATGGTTGCTGGTTGAACAGGTGAGACGGGGAGAGTGGGCGGGCGTGTGTGAGGCAGACATGGATTCAGCTTCACAATGAAAGAGTCCGTGGCGGAGAGAGTGACAACGTGACATGCTCACAAGGTGACCTTGTGAGGTGACAGACTGAAATATTCACACTCAAGATGCATGGCAGGAGGAGCGCCTAGGAGATGCATAGTGCGACCGTCGGCAAGGAGGGTCAGAGAGTGACTGAAAGAGTGACAGAGTGACAGTGTCTGGCTCCAGTTCATGATGCAGGGCAGGAGCAGCGAGAGGGAGGAGATGGCAGACACTCCCTGCATGTAGACTTCGAATTGCAGCCCCACACGGCCCATGAGGCGCGAGGGGAGGGAGATAAGGGAGACTTTCACAGAAACATAGACGACTCACATTCACGATGCAGGGCAGCAGCAGCGAGAGTGAGGAGATGGCGAAGACAGCCTGCATGTAGACCTCCACCTTGAGCCCCGCACGGCCCATGAGGCGCGAGGCAAGAGACGAGCCCAGCATGGAGGCGAGCATGAAGAGGGAGAAGATGAAGCCGTGCGGTATGGCCTGCTGTGAAGGGGCGAGCGCCGGCGTCCAGAGGAAGACGAATGTGTACATGCTCGCCTCGAAGAGTGACTGGATGGCTCCTAGAATGGCAATCTTCTCATCTGGATGAGGGGGACGTGGGGGGAAAGAGGAACAGACAGGGATGGCAGAGCAATGGCGTGCAGAGGAAAAGGAAGGAGGGCGTGCAGAGGAAAAGGAAGGAGGGCGTGTTGGCAGCGAACCGGGCCTAGATGGCCTCCAGCAGAGCGATGAAGCTTCTCATCTTGCAGACATGCGACTAGGAGGATAAGAAGATATGGTGGTGACTGCACACATGCGACCTCTCTCTACCTGAAGCTACGGCAGTGTACGCCCACACCCGACTCCCTCCCGAAGCAATGAGGGTGTAGATCAGTTGCAGCAATATGGCAAATAAACTTGTCTGGTGGTACCTGAGGCAATGGCATGGTAGGCGAGTTGGAACTGCAGCAGGAGGCCGTGCGACTGATCAGAGTCCCCATAGTTCTTTTGAGTCGACTCAAAAGTCCCCGTAGTTCTCACTCCACGTGCCCACTATCACCGCCATTCCCCCTGCTAGCAGCACCCACCCAAGGCAATTGCAGTACAGATCAGTTGCAACAATGAGACGTGTACCTGAGGCGATGGCATGGTAGGCGAGTTGGAACTGCAGCAGCAGCCCGTGCGACTGATCAGAGTCCCCATAGTTCTCACTCCACGTGCCCACTATCACCGCCATGCCCCCTGCTAGTAGCACTGATGCGGCATCAAAGGGCGCCACCGGGCCAAGGTTGAGGTCAGTCACCAACACGTTGGCTACAAGGCCTGTGGGGGAGGGCGGGCGGAGGGAAGGTAAGAGGAGCGCATCAAAGGGCACCACAGGGTCGAGGTTGAGGTCTGTCACTGGCAGAGAAAGAGAGCGCGAGTGGGGGTAGGAGCATGTGTGGACAATGAGCAGCATCTCAAAAGTAGTCACCACCATGCCCCGTGTCTACAGCACCAACGCCGCATCAAAAGGTGCCACCCAAACATCTTACCTGAAAGTATTGCCACGAGCCCATTCCCCAGGAAGATGGCTTTGGAGAATGTGATTGACAACCAGGGCGGCTCAAAACCCCGAGCAAAGTGCTCAGCGACGAGCCAGGACTCAAAGGCGGAGAAGAGCAGCGAAGTGGCGATGCCTCCCAGCACACGACCCAGCACGAGGATGGAGAAGGCCGGGAAGTGCTTCGTGAGACAGCTCAGGATGTATGTGATGCAGTAGAGCACGCAGGCCAGGCGGCGACCACTGGAAGGGGTTGATAGGGGTTCAGGGAGGAAAGGGGAAGGAAGAGGGAGGAGAGGAAGTGTATGTCACGCAGACAGGCCAGGCGACGCCCGCTGGAAGGGCAAATGGGAAGGGTGATGCAGGTAAGCGCAGGGCGGAAGCGGAGAGAGCGGAACACCAATAGATTGATTGTGAGGCAGGCCATAAGCAGGTAGCATTAAGCATTGTGAAGCGAGATTATAAACAGGGAGCCACTCACTGTCTGTCAGCGAGCGACCCAACAATGGTGCCGAAGACCATGGAGGAGCCGAATCCGGCAATGAAGAGGCGCCCGATATCACCCTTGTCATAGCCGTAGTGCTGGTACAGCGCGTACACGTACGGACCCTGCAGCCAATCGCCCGCTGCCACGTGGCATGAGGGAGGGGATGAAATCATAGTTGTTTTAGTGAGCGTGATGGGAGAAGTATGCATGACGTAACCATCATGAGGCAATACACAAGCTAGTCAATTATCGCAGGCAATATCCATCAACTCTACTGCCTTCCAGTTGACTCCGCATGCGTCGCGTACCCATCATGAGGCAATAGACGAGGAGGTAGTTGTTCTTGAACGACTCGAACGCGGGGGTGGTCTGCGCGCGGTCTTTGGAGCCGCGGGAGAACTCGAGCACCAGGCACAGCACCACCAGCACCGCGAACACCACCCAGAAATACGCCTCCATGCCCGCTTCTACCGCTGCTGCTGCTAGTGCTGCTAGTGCTGCTTCTCGTGCCGCTGCTGCTGGCCGCGAGAATGGAGGTTAGGTCTAAGCTGCGAGTGCTGCTGGGCTTTGGAGCACGGTGGTTGAGCTATCTGGTGTCTAGCGGGGATACACGGGGATACTCGTTTGCTGCTGCTAAGAAGTGATTGACATTTAGGTTGTCTAACACGTGTATAAAAGGTTGCTTGCGAGGCAATAACTGCTGGGCTTCGGACGCATACCAGCATGATAGGTACGCTTCGGAGACGATGGGTTTGGTAGTACTAATAGAAAGCCTATACAAGCGGATATTCACTTGAAAACCGTCGAGAGAGCTAAGAACGGGATAGCAACTTGGTTATGGCCGCCTCTAAAGCGAAAAGCGCATTAAATGACATCGCAGGAGCTACTAATGCTGAGCTGAAATCGTTAGAATCCCGACGGAAGTTGTTGGGAAACTCTTGAGCATTCCAGCAATCTTAAGCACGAACTATGCGGGGACGCGGAGCGGACACCTTTACACCGCCATGAGGAAAAAGCGCCTCGCTACTTATTAGTAAACGTGAACTACAGACACTCCTGCACTCCGTCGTTGTCAGAATGCCGACCCTTCTATAGTGGTTGTTGCGATTCGCCATCTAGTAGGGCATCGGAATGACTTGCATGGTCGAAGTTTGCGTGTCTCCTTTACGAAGCGCATTCTCAGATAAACGGTCATTCGCGGACCAGTAGACCAGTAGACCAGTAGACCAGGCGAACAGCAGAACTATCATGCACGGCATAGAGCAAAGAGAAACTAGAATTTGTCTTGACGGAGAAATTGACGTTGATAAGGGTGAGTTGAGAGGTGATTGGTGATTGGGGGAGATTGGCGACTGACAGTTCTGCAACACAGCCTCTGTTGCCGCCAGGCACAGTGAAAATCGACGGCAAAGATTGGTTGACGGAGGAGTGTAGCGCCTGACACATTCGCTAAGGGTAAAGTCGTTTGCAACACAAGCGTGAACATATCATTGAAATGACTGAATACATGGAATTTGAGAAATAATGGCAGCAGTGTGGTTGAAGCCACATGATACTTGGAGGACATTTAAAGCGCTATTGCCTTGTTGAGAGGTTCTGTCAAACGCTCCGTATGTCACCCGCATGGGTTCAAAGAACTCGAACTCATTTCCAAGCCCCTGGAAAAAATCCACAGCAGAAAATTTAAGGTGAAGGTGAAGTGATAAGGGATAAGGTGAAGTGAAACACAGAATCTACTCAGGAGCACAAGGGCACCTCCACAGAACCGAATTGCACCACACACAATATTCCACTACCAGCACGTACCAGTTGGCCTCCTGTGGACCTTGATTCCACTGCATGCGATCCTTGGGAACCACCCCAACCCCATGTGTACAGCTTGCCAACCGTTGCCGCCCGCAATGATTGCCCTTCACCCTCATCAGCACCACCTGATTCCAACAGTACGGCACAAGAGACAAACAATGAAGAATATTGCACCATATGGCAAGGCTTGGAAGTACACCAGCTTCATGCACAGCAGCTGCAAAGAGCAACACCCCATGGCTTGTTCTGTACTGTGACTAGTTGTGAGACCGAGCACTGCACTTACTGGCAAGAGCAGCGGTGTGCTTCCATCCACATGACAACTGCAGCACCTGCTTCCCTGCCAACCTGCCTGCCACCCTCACTGGGACTGCTGACGAGGGTGCATGGCGAGGGCTGCTAGGGGCAAGAGGCGAGGAGAGGAATGGAGACGAGAGGAGGGAGTGGTGAAGAGAGGAGAGAGTGGTCCAGAGAGGTGAGGAGATGTGGGGAGAGGTGAGGTGAGATGACTCTCAAAAGAGGCACAACACCAGAGCCACCCTTGTAACAAAGGAGGGTAGAATCAATTTTCACCCAACAGAAAACACTGCAACCTCTAGTCACACAGATGGGAGCATAGAGATGACAGGGCAGCCTCTACTTGCACACACCCGTGGCCAAGGCAGCCATACTCGTTTGCCCCCCACGTGAACAGGTGACCCGCCCCTGCAGGCATGCAGGGAAACACAATGAAACAGAAGGTTGGAAAGGAGTGTGAAGAATGCGAGGTAGAAATTAGATTGACGAAGCAACATGCCAGTACCTGTGACAGCAGCGGTGTGGTAACCACCACATGCCACATCGGTTACAGCATGCTGCAGTGATGTCACCTCCACAGGCTCCTCCCGATCCTTCTCATCCCCCAGCCCCTGCCATCATGCACACATGTGATCATGCATGCACCCATGCCAGCACCCATGCACGGAGACAAGTCATCATGCATGCACCCATGCCAGCACCCATGCACGGAGACAAGTCACACCAGCTGAGACAACTTGCTTTCACATCCACACTCGCCCGGACTCACCAGCTGAGAGAATCTGTTGCCTCCAAACATGAAGAGGCGGCCGCTGTCTGCCAGGAACATACACACACAGAGAGACACAAACAGACACATGCATGCTTGAATGCTTTCAATCATTCACACGGAGGCAAACAGATGCGCCGATGCGTACAGTTAACGGGAGTACGCAATAATACACATGTATGCATGCATCCCATTGGGACATGCTGGCTCACCATCAACACATGCCGAGTGCATCAAGCCTGCTGCCACACGCAGCAAGACCAGATGCAATAGGAGCACAAGCAATAGGAGCACATGCAATAGGAGCACATGCAATAGGAGCACATGCAATAGGAGCACAAGCAGAAAAATCACGTGCAGCAAGTCCACTTGCAATAATATTACTTGAGATAAGAACAACAAGTATAGATCAGAATAGGGGACAAGAGAAAAGACTATGGGTACAATACACACGATAAGGAGAGGCCCGACCACCGCACCCACACATATTATGCTAGTCCTAACTTCACCTGCCCAAATGGTTGCTTCAGTTAGCCGCCACTTCCCCCTCCCACTATTTCCACTTTTTCCCAAAGCATGATACCACAACGCCATACTGAGTTCGTGTTTACCGATTTTTCATACCTTGGAGTTTGCCATCGCCTTCACAAGCCGAGGCATGGACTCGCTGAGACGACGGGGTGAGGAGAGAGCAGAAGGAACAGGAGGGAGGGACGAGAAAGGAGAGGTTAGGCAGACCAGCTTCAACCAGGGGGGACAGTGGGAAAGGAGAGCGCATAGGTGCGCACTAGAAAGCAGAACTAACGTCCGTCGAAGAGGACATGCCGCATACACACACAAAAACGAATTCCCTATGCACTATCATGCTCTCCTTTCATACACACACTTGAGTCATGCTTGGCACCTTGAGTCATGCTTTGCACCTTGAGTCATGCTTTGCACCTTGATTCATGCTTTGCACCTTGAGTCATGCTTTGCACCTTGAGTCATGCTTTGCACCTTGAGTCATGCTTTGCACCTTGAGTCATGCTTTGCACCTTGAGTCATGCTTTGCACCTTGATTTTCTGGAGAGGCGGGAGAAGAGCGGCAGGGGGCCGTGACCGAGCGAGCCCTTTCCCCATGAGAGCAGCTGCCGAGGTGGAAGGAGAAAGGGAAAAGAGCGTGGTGACGGAAAGGGAGGATGGGGAGAGAATATGGCCCATGACCCAGCAGGCCCTTTCGCCAGCATGGGGCATGGCAGTATGGGAGCATGCATCGGGCAATGGGGGAAGGGGGGCATGGCAGCATGGGCACAAACGAGCCTACCGGTGACAGCGAGGGTGTGCTGTCCCCCCAGGGCCATGTGTCGAATGCTCACTCCTACCAGCGCCTCTGGCACACGGGGCGAATACACCTTGGATGGGGCGCCTAGGGACCAAGCACGCAGCAAGAAGGGGGAGAGGGAGGGGTTTAGAGGGGATTTTGGGAGGAATGGGTAGAGGAGAATGTGTGGGATGCACACTCCTACCAGCGCCTCTGGCACACGGGGCGAATACACCTTGGATGGAGCGCCTAGGGAGAAGGGGAGCAAGCATGTAGGGGTTGGGTAGAGGTTGCAGGGACGAATGAAGGAGACCGTGCCGGATGCACACTCGTACCATCACCATTAAAGTGTAGCTTGAATTACCATCAATGGCTGCTGAATGGAAAGCAGCAGCTGCAATGGCCACTACAGGCCGATCGAAGCCGACCACCTCTTGTGGCGACTGCAGGAAGCAAGCAACGCATGGAACAGGAAGGAAAGAAAGCGTTGCTTTGGGACACGGGTGAAAGAAAGCGTTGGGAGAAGAAAGTACATCCACGTCATTGGTTGGGTGGATCCTCACAATGCTAGTACGGGAGAACAGAATCGATCGGAATTGCTGAACAGAAAGTAAGGGAGGTGGAAGGGCAGACATGCTTGCAAAAACGGAACAGAAGCAGCAGCAGCAGCGGCACTCACAGTGACATACGGTGGAGCGTGTGAGCCACCCATCCCCAGCTGCCCTTGGTCGTTGATTCCCGTGCTGTACACCCTGCCATCCGCTGCACAGATGCGTGAGGTAAGAGTATGCATGGTTGGTCGTTGTAACCACCCATGCTGAACACCCTACCATGGTGGATGCAAGGGGATGGGGCAGGTTTACGCAGCGTGGTCAATGAACATCACACGCGCCCTCCCATCCTGTGCAGAGAAGCATGCTGAACACCCTATCATCGGCTGTATATATGCATCATGCGTGTGCATGGGAGAGCATACAGATTCGCATGAACGCATTCAGATTCGCATGAACGCATTCAGATTCGCATGTATGCCTTCAGATTCGCATGGGAAGCATTTATAACCCTTCGTTACTGACCCTAATGCCGGCTGTATCTCTCCTTTGCAGCATCAGTAACAATGACACGTCATCAGTACCTGTCAGTACGAGCGTGTGAGCACCACCGCATGCCACCTGGCACACGTCCTTATCCTCCAATGCTGCACACACTCGAGGGACGTTCACAGATCCCACATCCTCATTGCTATCCGCTTCCGCTCCACCATTTTCGCTCCCGACTCTCCCCCATCCCCACCACCCTCCGCCTCCCCCGTTCCCCCCGCTGCTCCCCCCCCCTTTGCTCCCCAGCCCCAGGCGTCCGTGATCCCCGTTCCCCCACAGCGCAACCTTTCTTCGGGACGCCTCAAACGAGGACGTCCGATTTTCCCGTGAGGCATCGCTCGAAGCGTGCCGATTCGACTCTTGACGCGGATTTAGCCCGTGATGGGTTGCCACGAGGCGAGTGCTTTGAGTAGAAGCAGCGTCCGCGGGACTGATAACATCCGCCACGGATGCAGGAAAGCCGACGCGCTTTCGCCCAAGTCGTGTTCGGCGCGCAAGGTGTAACGAGGAGCGCAGAAAGCCCATGTCCACGGAAGAGGATGCTAAAAATACAAAGAATCTAACAGCAAGACGATGCTGAAAGCTGTTCAGATCTCAGCGCAATGTACAAATGATACGCTTATAGCGTCAAGGATAACAAGGGGATTCGCTCAGCTGCGGGTTCATACGTAAAATCGTCTCCATGGCATTTTCAAATTTCTACATCCCCATGCTTGAACCTTCACCAGCACGAATGGAAAATCGGGAGGGTTAGCATTTGTAACATTTGTAACATCTCCTTTGCAGAGGGGAACAATTGGGTGTAGCTCGGTTAAGTAAAAATACATCCAAGGTGCAATGGAGACAACTTGATTACAACAGAACCAGAATTCCTGACTGGCAATCCCTGCAGCATATCTTGTTACCTTTCGCGCACGCATTTCCCGCGCATCGCGCCGCCGAGGATGCGCGTGAGGCGTGACGCTCGTCCTCTTGCGCGACATCAGGGTGCGCTCGTCCTTTTGAGTCGACTCAAATATTTTTTTTCTTTCATGGCGGCCATTCAAGTATCGATCGGTTATCCAGCGATTCGAAAGTCACTCTACGCGATCCTAGTCGCGCCGCACAATGTGATCACGCCAGTGCGAGGTGCTTCCACGGGTTTGCGGACGCGGATTTCCAGCCGTCGGATTCATGCACTGTCTCTCTTTCACCCGATGCATCGCGCCTGAGCGACTCTTATGACAGCTCGTCGCTCCCTCGTCCGTCATCGGGAGCCTCACCGGTCTCTGCGGTGGCGACAGGTGCTGCAGCCGCGGCGATGGTGGTGCGATGGCGAGTGCTGTGTCGCGCGTGGCCCGCTCACTGGCAGCAGCTGATGATTGATAAAGGTCATTGTCAGGCATGATTGATAAAGGTCATTGTCAGGCATGATTGATAAAGGTTGAGGGTTGAGCCATTGATGAATGGTGTCAACCTTCAGGCCGCAACCTGATTATCCTGAGGTGTCATTGATCTCCGCATGTGCTGCTTTTTGAAGGTTTTTGAGGGTGCTATGCTATGTGACCTTCATCTTATCGGACCTTACATGAATCAACGATTGAGCACCTACCGTGCCATTTGCAGCGATTTGCAGCTGCACCGCTGAGTGAAGCTTCCTGAAATCGATCAACTCAAATCCATTCTGAGTCAGCTCTATCACTTTTAGAACCAGCATCACCTCCTCACCTGATTCCCACTCTCTCCTCCACCACTCCTGCCTATCTTACCTCTCCGTTGACTCCTCTTTGCCTGCAGCATATGGCTGTGGTGCGCGTGGGGAGAGATGTTTCTCCATGGGGCGGAATGGTGGTGGAAGTGATAGAGCCAGAGAGAGTGGAAGGGCGGGAGATGGTGCACCCACGGGAGGAATGCTGGCGGAAGTGGCGCCTTCAGACGAGCCTCCACCTCTCCCATGCCAGGCTGCAGTGCTTCACCTGCGGCATCAGACAATGAAGATACTCTAGATGGGTTTGACTCCCTTGACGGCACTTACTGGTTGCCCGTCTCCTGCCCTTCCACTCTCTCCTGCTCGCTTCCTCACACAGGCCTCCTCCTTGCCTCCAGCCCTCTCCCGTCTGCTCCCAGTAAGCCACCATTCCAGCAACCGCACAACTTCCTCCTCCCGCCCCCTCACTTCCTCCATAATCACTCACTCCTCCTCCCTCAATCTGCCTTGTCCCCGACGTCCTTTCCCTCAACGCACAGCCAGCCTCACCCTGCCAGCCTCACTCTGCTCCCACACTTTCGTCGCCCACCTCGTACGCTTCCACTCACACCACTCGCATCACAAGCTCGTGGACGCGTCACAGCCACAGAAGCTTCCAGGAGACGGACGTGCTAGTTGGACGATTGGACAGAGTAGGAGAGAGAGAGAGTGCAAGTAGGAGACTGATTCAACGATTTCTACGCAGCAGAGGGCGGGAGGATGGGATACGGGAGTGGGAGCCACAGCTTGGTCCCGAACTGGCACTTGAACGATCAGTGGGGCAGATGGGGGAAAGAGATGGTCACTGTGTTGACAGTGGTGGTGATGCCAGTGGCAGTGACTGTAGCAGCAGTGACTGGGAGTATGGTGACGAGGCAGGAAATGAGCAGTTGTGGCAGAGGGAGAGTGAGGAAGGAGGAAGCTGAGAGGTTGGAAGCTGAGGTCATTCATCCGCCACCATCCTCCCTCTCTCCCGCTCGTGCCTCGACTCCTCTCCTGGCGCCTTCCACTGGACCATCTTCCTTTTACATCTCCCCCCATCCCACCGCTCCCACCATGGCTGTGCAAGCAAGCTACGGGAGAGTTTGCAGCAGCAGCAACAGCAGTAGCATGAATGGCACTGGCAGGGCAGTTCTGGACCGGCAACTGGTGATGGCACACGGCTCGCCTCTCCACACCTTCCTCGCTCTGCCATGCCACACCCGCTCTGACAAGGTGCTCCGCGTGCCCGGGATGCCCACACTGTGCTGCTGCTGCTGTGCGTGTTCGTTCATTTCATGACATGCCGTTCTGATCATGCATGAGGGCATGTGGAGGGCGAGGCCATGTGGGGCCACTGTGAGGCGGCCTGGTACAAGATGCTCATAGGGGCCATGCTGCGACGTGCTGAGGTGCTTGCAGGAAAAGAAGGAGGGGATGGGGAGGGTGGCAGTGGAGGAAGGTGGGAGGAGGAGGCGAGGGGGGTAGAGGAGGAGATGCGGGTGAAAGGGGTGAGGGCGGATCATGAGGTGAGGGGGCTGCTCAGGAAGCTGAGAGGCATGGCACATGTGCAGCAAGGGAGAGCAGAATGTGGGGATGATGAGCATGTGGAGTAGTGCCATTCCTGAACGGTGTGTTGCTTGGTGGGTACCGTTTGGGTGGCTATGGCTTGTGTCAAACCAGCATGCTCGTTAATCTGCTCAAACATGACGGTCCAACAAGTTGTTCCAAACAATTACCTACAGAACCCATAGCAACAATGCATTTGCCAAGATAATTGTGAGTCTATATGTTCCCTACAGTACCCATAGCAACACCAAGGATACTCTAAAACTCACCAAGGTACAATGTATTGCAGGCCCCAAAATGGTATTTTACCCTGATTGCCCTGACTGGCGGCCGCTTTTTTTTGAAGTACCCTGACGCAGTCAGACTCCCAGGCTTTAAACACTGACTGGAAATTTGTTTGAAATTTTTTACCCTTATAGAATCAAAGTTCGCGTTTCGTTCCCCTGACTTCATCAGTGTTCTTTCCCACTTACCCTGATACCGAGTTCCTCGAAGCGAGGATTCTGCTACACTACACATACACTGCACCTGTGACGCGGTGCCACTCTCCCATCTTGTCGCACCCGCCCTATGGTGAAAAACTGCCAAACCCCCCCACTGACCCCAAAGTTGCACCCATTGGTGTTTTTGGCAAGAATCGTGCCAGCACACCCGTGTTTGCTGCCAATACAGCTCATAGTCCCTGCCAACTGTGGCTGTTTTTGCCACAGCACGGCAAAACTGGCGCGATGCGTGGCTCGTCTTGCCCAGTGCTGCAGATGCCACGCCATCACGTAACAGCCTGTACCTGCCATGGTTTCCCTCGCTGCATGTACAGCTTTTCGCGGTGCGGAGGGGGTCCTCCGTCCTTCCTTTCCAACCGGAAATCGTCTCTCTCACTTCTCTCTTGCACTTCCCCGAGTTCTCACGGAGTAGCACCAGCCAGTCATGCCAGCCGAGCAAGAGCCCGATTCGGAACCGTCTGGGGGCCCAAGAAACGGGCTCTCAGTTCTTGGCGTTCTTCCCAAGATTTCTGATAATTTCACCGTTCCCATCGCATAGCCGCCTCGTGACGCCTCGCCCGTGCGAAGTGTCGGCTATGTGTTTGCAGTCGAGCGGCCCACTTCTCCTAGTGCTGTTGAGCCGCACCTGTCACTGGTTCTTGTTCCTGGCGGCGATGAAGGCAGCTCAAGGCCTTCTACTGCGTCCCCGTCGACCGTGAACAGCACGCCGGGCAAAAGGCCGAGGATCGGGGTGAAATACACTCAGCAGAGGCTCTGGGGCGCACCGCCACCAAAGAACGATGCATCACCAACGCGCACCGAAGCTCGTGCCGATCCCAAACCACCAACCGAAACCGCTGAAGCTGAGTACGCTTCGTACAAGCACAGGTACGATACTGAGTGGGCAGGGAAATTCGAATGGTTACGGCTACATCGTCAGACCAACGGGAGACCTTCGCTGAAATGCAGTGTCTGCATGAAGTACGGCGATCCTACCGCTCGCACGAGCTACGGTGTGAAGGGTGAGGGTGGCCGTGACTTGCAAATTGGAACCATCCGTGTTCACTCATCCGCCCGAGCACATAAACAGGCGCTGGAGAGCGAGGCTCGGTCACTTGCAGCAAAGGAGAAGCAAGTGACTTTGACAAGGTGGCAGGAGACGGATGCGTCAACTCGCCACATCATCCGCTGCCTGCATATCGCGATGTTCGTCTGCAAGGCCGACGCACCCATCGCGATGTTCGTCCCCCTGTGCTGGTTTCTCGCTAAGGAGGGACTTCCAGATCTTCCCCCCAACGGCGGCTACGGTGCATACTACACTGAGTACGTTAATTGTCCGTTGTTTGTTGTGCTTTTCGAATGACTGTTAGTGGGAGTTTTTAATCTAAATTGTGCGTTGTATGTGTTGCAGTTACGGTTTCAAGGAATCCCTTCGTGCGACATCCGCGTGCCTGCAGGAGACGCAGCGGCTTCACCTTCTAGAATCGCCGTGGATGTCCCTCTCGCTCGACGAAAGCACTGACCGCATCCACGGCAAACACCTCATCATTTACGTCACGTACCTCAAGAACAGGGCCGTCGTCAACGAGTTCCTCACCTTGATAACCGTGGATCGCGCTGACGCTGCTTCTTTGTCCTCCGCTGTTGTGCAGTACCTGACCGGTATTGGTGTGGACTTGCAGAAAGTAACAGGCATCGCGACCGACGGAGCGAGCGTAATGGTGGGGAAGAACAATGGAGTGGTGGCGCGGCTCAGAATGCGTATACCTCACCTGTCGTCAACACACTGCATCGCGCATCGGTAACTATGATGTCTATGCTCGGTAGTTTCAAGTTCAGAGGATATGAACTCATGTATCTTGTTTTGAGCATGCAGGGAGGCACTTGCTGCAAAAGATGCCACTGAAGCTGTCCCTGAGCTGAACATGATAGACGATGTCGTCCGTGCGTTTTCTGAGCTTATAGGGAGGAGCGGCGTGCAGTACTAGAAGTTTCAAAACTTGCAACGAGTGTACTGCAAGACGAATCTTGAGGCGCAGGGAATACACACCGTCCGGTGGCTGTCGCGTGGCGAGGCCGTTGCCCGGCTCCTCGAGGTCTTGCCAGCCGCCATCGTCGTGCTCAAGGACTACAAGCCCGACTTGTACGAGGTTGTGACCTCGTTCAAGTTTCATTGGCTACTACGCTTTCTTGCTGACATCCTGTGGGAGCTGAACCACTTGAACCAGCGGTTCCAGCAAAGACAGGTCAGTACTTGCGCTTAATTATAGTGACAAGACAAATGAACAAGTGCACTGTGTCAGATTTATATGACATAGCTACTGTAGGCTATAGTGGGGTAGCACATATGGGGTACAGTTTTCTAGGGTTTACATTTGTACCCAACTTTCCCTTAGTCATTCTCATTCCTCGTTTCTTCTCATGGTATCGAGCAGGTTCCCTAGTGGGAACGATTCCTAGGGCCCACCACCACGAAATTTTTTTTTTTTTCCTGCCCGGAGCGCGCTTCGCTCCGGCCCGAGTCGCGCCCTGTGTGCTCTCCCTACCGTCGCGCCCTCGCTAGGCCCCTCACGGCCCCGTCGCGTCGCCCTTAGCGGCCCTCTCACGGCTCCCTAGCGCCGCCCTTACGGCTCGTCGCGCCGCCCTTACGGCCCGTCGCGCCGCCCTTACGGCCCGTCGCGCCCGTCGCGCCGCCCTCACGGCCCCTCGTGCCGCCCTTACGGCCCGTCGCGCCGCCCTTACGGCCCGTCGCGCCCGTCGCGCCGCCCTCACGGCCCCTCGTGCCGCCCTTACGGCCCCTCGTGCCGCCCTTACGGCCCCTCGCGCTACCCTTACGGGCCCTCCCGCGGCCCCTTCGGCCCCTCCCGTCGCCAGTCGGCCCCTTACGGCCCCCCCTCGCGGCCCCTCGAGCCGCCTTCCGCGGCCTTCTCACGGCCTGTCGCCGCCCTCGACGGCCCCTCGTGGCGCCCTTCACGGCCTCTCCGCCGCTCTTCGCGGCCCCTAGCGGCCGGCAGCCGCCGTCCCTGAGGCAGCAGCCGCAGCCGTCTCTGCAGCAGCAGTCGCCACAGCTTCTGCGACTGCTGCCGCGGTCGTCACCAACCACACCAGCCGCCGAGCCGCCCAGCAGCCGAGCACCCGAGCCGCCGAGCCGTCCTGCAGCCGAGCAGCCGAGCCGCCGAGCCGCCGAGCCGCCCAGCAGCCGACCCCCGAACCGCCCGGGCCGCCGAGTTGCCGAGCCGCCCGAGCCGCCCGAGCCGCCGAGCCGCCCGAGCCGCCGTCCTGCCGAGCCGCCGAGCCGCCGAGCCGCCCGAGCCGCCCTGTCCGGTAAGAGCAGCGCCTCTATCACTGCACTGCCCTTACCCTACTGTTCACACTGCTAGTCTACTGCTGTCATGGCTACCCCTAGTGTCCTCGCCTTTGACGCTGAGGGTCGGGCCATTGACTTTGACGTCTGGGTAGATGACCTGCAGCTTTTCTTACAGTGCGATAGGGCAGACGGTCTCTCCCTCTTTGACCTCACCTCTGGTGCCTCTCCTGCCCCTGCTGCTGATGCCGACGCCACTGTTCGCTCACAGTGGGCCACACGCGATGCTGCTGCACGTCTAGCTGTGCGTCGCCACCTGCCTACCTCTGAGCGTGCGCACTTTAGCCAGTACAAGAGTGCTCACACCTTGTACGACGCTGTAGTTGCGCGCTACTCCTCCCCTGCCACTGCTGCACTGAGCCGCCTCATGCTACCGTACCTCTTCCCTGACCTTGCTGCCTTTCCCACAGTCGCTGACCTCATTACGCACCTCCGCACTAGTGACACTCGCTACCGCGCTGCGCTTCCTGCTGAGTTCTGCGCCAAGAACCCCCCCCCCATGTACATCACCCTCTACTACATAGTCACCCGGCTCCCTGACTCCCTTCGTGTAGTCAGGGACCACTTCCTCTCAGTTTGCCCCACCACTCTCACCGTTGACCTCCTCGAGAAGGCCCTCCTAGCAGCAGAGAAGAGCATAGTCGCTGTAGGAGCCTCTCGTGGTGACCCTCGCACCCCCGTCTTTGAGGGGTGTTCCCCCTCCCCCCTTTTGCCCTCTGTTGCCTCTGCTGCTGCGGCCGACCTCGTTGGTCTCGAGTCGGTCGGCGCTGCGTCTGCCCCGAGCGGGAGATGCCGCACCGGCAAGGGCAAGGGGGGCAAGGGTGCTGGAGGGGCTGGCGGGGGTGGCGGAGGTGGCGGTGGCGGCAGTGGAGGGGGTGGGGGTGGTGGTGGGAGTGGTGGCGGGGGTGGAGGTGTCGGTGGCGGCAGTGGAGGCGGAGGCGGCGGCGGCGGTGGCGGTGGGAGCGGAGGTGGCGGAGGTGGCGGCGGTGGAGGAGGCGGCGGCGGAGGAGGTGGAGCTGGTCGGGGTGGCGCTGGGCAGAGGGTCGGCTCCGGTGGTGGTCAGCGCCAGCAGCAGCAGCAGCAGCGGCAGCAGCGCACTCGTGACATCCCCCCCCCTCAGCAGCTCCGTGAGTGGTACGCTGCACGCCAGCAGGGTGGGGGTACTGGTCCGTGCACCTACGTCCTACGCACCGGCGACCGC